GAAGTGTTGCCTGGACTTTTTGTTGTGTATCTTAATATAAACTAAGCAGAACTTTTGCTCTACATCAGTGGTTTTTTGTAGGGAAAGACAACCAACTTGTTCCTAGAGTTTTGTTTTTTTTTTTTTTGCTTCCTGAAGTTCCTTTGAGACATAAACCAGACATGTTAAGTAAGCTGGGAGTGGCCATGTTGCTGCTTTGGTTGATCCTAAGCTTAGGATCCCAGGGTTGTTCCGATAGGAAAGGACCTCTGAGAGTGTCCAGTCTACCCTGCCCAAAGCAGGGTCAGCTGTGAGATCAGACCAGCTTGAAGCAAGGGTGATGTAACTATAAATTATTCTGTTGCTAATATTAAGTGATCTGTATTTGGGCTATTAAAAAAAATACCTGGAAATCTACTCCTTTGATAATAAAGTAATTAGAGAGATTTCCAGTGTGAAGTGTTGAAATGGTATTTCTGGCAGAGATTTGTGTACAGAAACAATGAACAGGCTTTGCCAGAAAGTTCTACAGAAGTGCCTGGGATAACTTTGCTTTCTTTTGTTCCTCAGCTTTCTCTGTTCTTTGTCTAATTCTGCAGGAAGGAGAGGGAGACCAGCACAGACATGGAGGAGGAATAAATAAGTTGTAAAGGACCTTCTGGCTTAGTCTTTCTGTCCTTGCTAATGCAGTGAGCAGGTCTGTCTGGGAAGGCCCTGCCCTGTTCACTGGGAGACTCTGTAAGGCCAAAGTGCTGCTGCAAGGATTGCATTGCCTCTTTTTTTCAGCTGGATTTTAAAAAGAATCTGTGAAGTTCAATGAAATTCACTTAGTAATAATTCTAAGAGTCGATTTCCCCTGTTCCTTATACAGCATTATGACATTCACAGCCTTCTCAAGAGGGTTTTTTGGCAGTAAAATTTTTATGTAATGTTTGCCCTCACTATTCTGTGTCAGTCTCGCAGCTATGACCCATTGAAAGCCAATCTCCTGGCAAATGTGATATTAAATACTGCTAAGTATCTGAAGGCAGCATTTTGATGACTACAGTTGAAGTTACCTGAAGGAGATTAATAAATAGTTTTTTTATGATCTTGGAGATGTTTTTGAGTTTGGATGGAACTGTAACATGTATGACACATTTCTTTCAAGTTGCAGAAAGCCACAAATGGAAAAAGAAAAAATAAGGAAGGAAAAGAAAAGATACAGGGAGAAATCACATCTGTCAAGGAGCATGATTAAATGCTGACTTGAAGTAATGTGATTCACTGTTTAGACAATCTTGTTATGAAAGCTCTAAGTCTTGGATCAATAAAATGAATCTTGGACAGATATTAATCTGGCTCTGACCTTAGAATTACATTCAGCTGCAGAACCAAGGTTATTGATGCCCATCCTAATCAGACATTTTCAGACATCAGAATCTGAGAACTTAAATATTTGCTTCAGACTAAGGTAACTCTTTTTTTCCTTTGACCATTTTCTTCCTAATGTTTATGTACTTAAAGCTGTGATTAATATGTTCCATTTGACTGCCTTTCTACTGGAAGTCAGGAATCCAGAGTGAATGGGCTACTGACTGCTAGAGTATTATTTTTTTTCTCCCTCCCTACCCAGCAGAGTGGGAGTAATTTTGCTAAAATAGAGTGTTGTGAGAGTTAACTACATGAGACTAGGAAGTCCCCCAAACAGTTACATGGTTCATATTTTATTTCTAGAGTAAATGGCAAGTTGGTCAATTTTTCTTCTGTTAGCAAGTGTAAGACTCTCTAAGATACAGTTTTAGTCTCTTCAGAGGTAGGACTTGGAAGCTGTTGATGCCCAAGGTGCAGTGATTTTGTCCAGCTGTATCACTGACTTTATACAGGTGTTGTGTGAGTTTCCTCTTGTTGCCTAACAACTGCTATTCCTTGTTCCATTGCCCAGGGGGTATTTGCAGTACCCCTGTACAGAGGAACAGACTTTAGTGCAGGGATCAGTTGGCCAAGGTACCAATACAGGTCTTGATTAGCTGAGATGGACTGGAAGGCTTGCACAGGTAGGGGAGGATGGTGCTCATTCCTAGACTTGCATTAGGTGCCCCAGGCTGCTTTCAGTCGTGATTACGAAGCGTTGCTCTCATCATGAATCATCCACAATGGAGCAGGTTTCTCAGAGTGCACAGGCTGGAATAGTGCTGATTGTTTTCCAGAAGAAAATCTTAAAGGCACTGGGACAGGAGGCGTGCAAATAGCCTGCTGCCAGCTCCAGCAGAGGTGAGGGTGCCAGCTCCTGTGCTTTTAACCTCCATGTCTGGTAACAATCCCAAGATCTTTCTGGTTTTATTTAAAATACATCACCATTCTTCTAAGAGGGGGCAGTTTACATCACGTTGTTCAGTAAACAGTGTCAGATCCTAGGATTTGACAGTTACAGATGCAGATCTCATGTAAAAGCTCTTTTCTGAGAATCACATCTTCCACAAAACAGCAAATGGACTTAGCGGTGAGCTAATGAAATGCTGAGTCCCAGGCGCGATTGGATTTTATGAGTAAGCGCTTTTCTTGTCCTTAGCAAAATCCAGCAGCAACCTTCAACTGTGCAGGAATAAAGAAAATGTCTTCTAGTTCTTATGCTCATTGATTCTACTCTTTCAGTGAAGAGAGATCTAGAGCAAAGGAGTACTTTTGTTCCTGTCGATGTGCCTTATCTCCGTGAGACAACTGTACTGTAGCAGTAGCTGCATGGAAATAAAAGGCGGGGCATCCCTGTCAGTAGAAGCCTGGTTAATTTTGGGTTGAATTAGTTTATTTATACTCCATTTAAGTTCAGACAGATTCTCAGTGCCATCTGGTTCCCAGAGAACAGCTAGAACAAGCACAGCGAAGTCTGTGCTTAGATTTAATTTATCAGACTTTCATGTCTTGCTCTTGTGTGTTACCACACAGTTTCATAAGACGGGGAACTTGAGGCACACCAAAGTTGTTGGACAACAAAAACAAAAGCTGGTAATATAAAACCTTAATCAGACTAAAGAGTGGTATATAGTTAGAGTCTGAACGTAGCCACCTATTGATTCTTTACTGCTTGAGGGATAGTGAGGATTCAGAAGAACCTGGGAATACCGATGTCCTCTGCTGTCTGGGGGAGTCTGTGGTTCTCTCAGTGTTCAAGGTGATCCAGGCTGGGTTCTATTTACTCCGGAATGAATCTTTGGTCTTAGGCATTGGGTCCTGCTGCAACTTTTGTCCCGAGGACAGAACCTTGGATGTCATAGGTTTGCTTTAGTTCTGCATTTATTGGAGATATGGAGGGATGTATCTCTGTGTGTCTGTAGAATGGTGTTCCAGACAGATAGAAATGCTACCCCAATTTTGAGAGTTATCTTTGACATCACTTGTTTTGTAGTGACAAAACAGGACAAGGGAGTGTTACACAGTTTAAGATATAACTTCATGGCCTCTAGGATTTGATCTTTCAGCTTCAAGTACAGATTTACACCAGTCTGTGAGTGCTCCGTGCTAGGCGTGCACATTATCCAGGGATCTCCCAGATGAACTAGTATTCTAGTTAATTTCTCCTTGAAGAGGTAATGGTAATATTCCTTTTTAGCTTATAATGGATCTCTGGGCTCTGGAGAGTAACTTTTTAATCTGCTGACTTTAGAAGTTGTAATACATCATCTCATTTAGGAGTTTTCAAACAGGAGGCCATACACCTGATTAAACTGGTTTATAATGTATGCTGTAAAACATAAGTGCAACTCTAGCACTGTTGTGTATATGTGCTTATCATGCATATCCTGTAGTTAAATTTGCCTTGGAAATGCTCACCTCTGTAGCTAGGTAGGATTTTTCCCTACTGACAAATCTAGTTTCTGTCTGAGTAGCTCCATGCATACCAAGGATCTGCTGCTCTTTAGACCTCGTCCTCAAAGGTTTAATGCACGGAGCAATTTTCTTTTATGCGAGGCTTGTCTGCTCTCTCGTTTATTTCTGGCTCGATTTCCTCTGACTAAAAATGCTGAAAAAGTATATATCAAAATTAGAATCCAGCCCCAAATCACAGCTACATCTGAGGCCTGTAATACTGTGGAGTATCTGCAACTTTCTAATTACAGACTCTGAACCTCATAAATAGGGAGGTTAAAAAAACAAGGTTGAACCTGGTGTATGATCTTGCATATTAAATGTGTGGGGTTTAATCTCTGGATGATGAAAGATTTAGTTGTCTGTTCAGAAGTGATATGGGGCTAAACATGGGTGACACAACTGAGAGAGCATTTTAAATTGCTTTTCTGTTCCTTTTGATTCTTCTGACACTTTAGTGCTAGATCTTCATTTGTTTATATTGAAGTTCCTCAGTTTTGTTAGCACTTATTTTGTCAGAGCTATATTTGAATTCTGTTTTCAGTGTCAGACACACAATTACATTGAAGCTCAGTGGTGTAAAATGTATTTTATAATCTCAGTATCAGCATCTTGAGTCACTGTTCCTAGAAAATGCTCTCCTAGGATCTGGTTGATATTCCTGTAACTGTGGAGAACAGTATTGTATGTTTGCCTTTTATTAAAGGATAGACTTGCAGTTCAAGAACTGTGTGACTGAGAATATGCTATTTTTAATGCAAAATTGGTTGTACTCAATATTGAGAAAGCTGCTGCTAGGAAAATAGAAGATACCTTGTCTCTGTGATGGAATGCCCCTCCTGGAAGGAACAGCCTTCTGGGATCCTGGGGACTCCCAGGACCCTTTGTAATGCTGGGTGGTTGTCATTGGTTTGTCACCTGCTGTAGTTGCAAAGCCAAGGGCAGGTATAGTTCGTAGCAAAATGGAAAAACACAAGTATTGCATAATATAAAGAGAGAAACCTTTATGTAGAGAGATCTCGGATGTCTTTGATAAATAACAAAACTGCTTTTTAAAAAAGTAGTGTTTTGTGACTGCGTAAGTTGTTGCTTGGTATAAATATTGTTCTCAAATAGATCTGGTTATGTGCACGCATTGTGATAAACTGTCTTAATTCTGTTTGCTCTCTTTGCAGGCTGCGGACTTGAGTAAACCAATAGACAAAAGGATATACAAAGGAACACAGCCCACATGCCACGACTTCAATCACTTAACAGCCACAGCAGAAAGTGTGTCTCTTCTAGTGGGCTTCTCTGCAGGCCAGGTCCAGCTTATAGACCCTATTAAAAAAGAAACTAGCAAATTATTTAACGAGGAAGTAAGTAGAAATCTTAACATTGTTGCATGCACTGTGTCTGTGATACTGAAGTTCCTAGATTTTCAAAGTTCTGTAGCTGGCTACATTTACCTGTGTAGCTTCTAGTTCAGTAGCAGCCTTTGTTTTTCAGCTGTTCCATTGGCTTGGAATACCTACCCAAAAATGCTATTTATGAAGGCATCTTGTGGGGTTTAAGATTAAATAAGGACTTTCTGGTTTGGGTAGTACTGTAAGCAGTTGATGACAGTTTACTGATGGAAATAAGGCCTACAGATATAAATGTTGCTGCGTGTGCTCTGCAGTCAGTTGTTTCTGAGGCTTCTGGTTGCCAGTGAAGAAAAGAGAAAAAACACCAAACATTTAAACCCCTACTTAACTAATGCATTATGGTCAAAACGTTAAATAAGGTAAAAATACCAATTTTTATGGTCAGGACGTTACAGTGGAAACTGCCTGTGTTGAGTATTCCTAAAGGCTTGTTTGGAGAAGAGTAGGATATCAAGCTGAGTGCTGCAGTGATAAAGCTGAGGGGTTATGAGGTCTTGGCCATGTGATGTTCCTGAAGGAAACTCTGCATCTGCTTTTTCTGCTGCCATGCAATAAGGAAAGATAGAGGGAGTACTGTGTGGCACACTAATGCCAAGTTACAGGACCACTGGCTCTGCTTATCTCACAGTATTGGCATTCTTAGATGAGTAAGTGTCCAGATGCCAATAAGGAAAGAAATCTCGTAACTGGGTCAACTTCTGACAGCATTTTCTGCAGGGGATAAGCTGCAGGAATTTGTGTGGTCTGGGGGAGGTGATTTTCTTTTAAGGGGTGGGTCTTTTGCTCTTTTGTGTTTTAATCCAGCACTGTGGAGAGGTTTGCAGGTCTCTTATTTGTTTTGTTTGTGGGATTTTTGTTTGTTTCTCTTTTCTTTTTAGAAATTTCAGATCTGGATTAGAACTTCATCTATAAAGTTAAACATTGCTCAGCTTTCAAGCTGAGCAGATATACCTTTCCCATCTCAGAGAGATGTGTTGCTTTGCTCCTTCTTTGTGCAAAGTACATTGAAATATTGTTCTCAATGGGGATGTTTTATAATTAGAACTAATTCCTCCTCAGCTTTCTAAAAGTAGCTACATGTAGATCAGAAGAGGGGTGTTTTTCTTCTTAGCTGGCCTTGTCCCAGCTGCTCTGTCTCTCTGCTTGTGTTGAGTTGAAAACAGTGCTGGAGAATTAAAGTTGCATGGAGTACTCTGATGGTTACAAACCTCTGTATAAGTAGCTGAAATGTTAATCTTAGCATTGTCCTAACGCCCTTCCCCCCCCAAAATACAGCCTGATTTATTCTTGTGTGATAATAGCCTAACTATTACAAATGGGAGCAGAAATGCTTTGAGCAGCTAGTTTCATGTCACAGAATAGCTCCCAGACTCTTGTAGCTGAACTGTAGTTGCCTTTTGTCTGGGCTATAGCCAGGTTACTTCACTGTGGTGAGAATATGTCCCTTGACAGGTGGAAATTTAAATGAGGTGATCTATTTTCTACCAAGCTAATGTAAGGATTTGCTCAGTGCTACCAAAAAACTGTGCACACAGGCTGCAGTTAAATGAGAAATTCTTGTTTCCTGACCTTATCTGCAGTTATAACTAACTCTGATGAAACTTTTATATGTTTTTAATCTGTCAATTACAGTATTGACATTTGCCTTGGACGTGTTTGTGCGTTCTGGTTTGTATCTGAAAGCCATTTCAGAGAAACATTAGTGAGCACTGATGTTTGAGCCAGTTCATTTGCTTCAAGATGAAGGTGCCTGTGGGGTTTTGAATATATTTAGAGTTTAGGTAGTGTTTGAGAATAATAATTTCTTCATAAGGTGGTCTAAATAAGTGTTTATGTTGTTCAACAGGTCTAGCCCTAGTGCTAGAGGTAATAGAATTCACCATCTGTCCTGTTAATAATTTGGTGATTCAGGTAGCCCAAAGCTCTGTTTGGACTATCACCTGTGATAGCATTTATGTGTGATATGTGAAATAACTCAACTTGTTTTGACACAGAAGGTTATGTTAAACATAGACTACATCAAGGCTATTGCATTTTAACTTGTTACTCTTACTCCTTTTTTTTTTTTTTTAAATTCTATTGATGTAGGGACTTGAAAGGCTGAGGTGAGTGATGCTGTGCAGCTTGTGGCTGCCTGCCTAAATCTGTCTGTATCATCAGTGCTACTCCTTCCAGCTGTGTCAGAATTAAACTTCTAAAAGTTATAACTTCAGAGTTTTTATCTTCCTGCTGAATTTAAAGCTCTGCTGGTTGAGAAGGGGATGAGTTGTAGTCACTTGCTGCACATCAACTTAAAGTCCCTCTGCATCTTGTCTCCTTGAGCTGGTCTGTTCTCACTGCAAATTGCAGCTGTCTGTTTTTCAGAGCCTCCTTGCAGTAAAGATCAGGTTTGCAGGTCTCCTGGGCAGTATTTATGATCATGTAGCCCAGCATGATTAGGGACGTCAAATGCTGGTGTAAAAGTTTAGCGGCTGCTCTCACAAGTAGAGGTTGTAACGTCAGACTGAGCTGCTTTAGTAGAGGGGAGCAAGAAACTTTGCCTTTGTTCCATATTAGCAATGAGGAAACTATTGCCTTTAGTAAGCCAGAGAGCTGGTGTTCCCTGTCCAGGTTCTCTCAGTGTGTACAGGTGTGTGCCAGTCTAATTTCTGATACCATCATTATTGAGACCTGAATGATACGGTCAGCGAACACATGGAAAACTGTTTAAAATATCACAACAGAATCGCAGAATGTCTTACTTTAAAGCTGCCATCACATTTGAAGGAAATTTGGCAGATTTAGTTACATCTCTCAGCTCTCAAGTACAATGTGGCAAACTTAACCAGTGAGGCATTACAGGAGAAAGGCTCTCTGGTTTTACACCGAGGCTTGACAGCAGGAAAAGTATAATCTAAAATGGCCAGGTGCTGCTTTCAAGTGACAGTTACAGGCCCAGAACAGGTAACAGTCAATGTAGGATCCATTAGTTTGGGATTTTTCTATATGATAAATAGCATAGCAAGGTTTTTTGGGGATTTTTTTCTTCTTTGTTTGTAAGGGTTTTGTTAACTTGTTCTGGTATCCCTTAGGCTCTTCGTATTTTCATTCTTGCTTTTTGTGTAGCTCAGCTCTTCTTTCAACTTATAACCACTGTGCAAAGTACAAATCTTGAATGTGCTTGTAAAGAATTACTTGTCTGCAAGTTGCAGCTGAGTAGTGCCATGACCAAACTGATAAGTTTCAGAAGTCCACCAGAACTGCAGTAGCAAACTCAAGGAGTCAAACTTTACCTCTCAGTTCTTAGAGCATTGAAGACATCATGACCAGGAGCGTTTCTTTAATGTATGTTCGTTCCTTTGCAATGATGGACTCTATAAAAATGTTTTGCTTTAAAAGAAACTGCTTAATCAGGTGGCAACAGTATTGGCAGGTCCTTGGCTATTGAAAGAAAAGTAATTGGAGGGTGGGGAAGAGTATGTGGTGCCTTCTGAGTTCACCAAACCACGTGCATTTACCTACTGACTTTCCAGCCGGATGATAACGAGGTCACTGTGTGTGTAGCCTTTGCTCCCTGAATCAGTAAAAGCTGCTGGAGGCTCCTAAAGCCTCCCTTTATTTCAGAGGTTGGATTTTTTTTTTCTGATTTCAGGTAAAAACAGAACCTGAATTTATTGTTGTTGTTTTGTAACCTGTTTGCTATGTAACACAGATGAGTAACTGCCTTTTTCCCTCTAGCTCGTTTGGTGCTTTCTTGTTTCCTTTTCAAGCTCTTCAACCTATACAGCGAAAAGTAAACCTAAGAGCACTGCCCTCAGATTCATAGCAACAGATTGGCTTGATTGAAGTATGGTCTGTATGGAATGGGACTGGACTGTAATAACAACCTTTGAAAGTACTTTGTCTGAAAGTGATTTCTTCTTTACTGCCTGATAAGTTTTTGCAAATACAGTAGCATAGTTCCTGTCTAGAAAGTTGAGTTCACTTAAAGTATTGTTCCTCATCCCCCAGAGAGCTCAGATTTACAGTTAATCATGAAAACTTTAATGTTCAGACTTTCTGATGTGTATCTTCTTTGTTTTTCACAGAGACTAATAGACAAGTCCAGAGTAACCTGTGTAAAATGGGTACCAGGTTCGGAAAGCCTTTTCCTAGTAGCTCATTCCAGTGGCAATATGTACTTGTATAACGTGGAGCACACTTGTGGTACCACAGCCCCGCACTACCAGCTACTTAAACAAGGAGAGAGTTTTGCAGTGCACACTTGCAAGAGTAAATCCACAAGAAACCCTCTGCTTAAATGGACAGTAGGTGAGGGTGCCCTGAATGAATTTGCCTTTTCCCCCGATGGGAAGTTCTTGGCGTGCGTGAGCCAGGATGGTTTTCTTCGCGTGTTTAACTTTGATTCGGTGGAATTGCATGGTACAATGAAAAGCTACTTTGGAGGACTGCTGTGTGTGTGTTGGAGTCCCGATGGGAAGTACATAGTGACAGGCGGAGAGGATGACTTGGTGACAGTTTGGTCTTTCGTGGACTGTCGAGTCATAGCGAGGGGCCACGGACACAAATCGTGGGTCAGTGTCGTTGCGTTCGATCCATATACCACTAGTGTAGAAGAGAGTGACCCGATGGAATTTAGCGGAAGTGATGAGGATTTCCAAGACCTCCATTTTGGCAGAGATCGAGCCAATAGCACGCAATCTAGACTATCCAAAAGGAACTCTACAGACAGTCGCCCAGTAAGTGTTACATATAGATTTGGTTCGGTAGGCCAGGACACACAGCTCTGTTTGTGGGATCTTACAGAAGATATCCTCTTCCCCCACCAACCTCTCTCAAGAGCAAGGACACATACAAATGTCATGAATGCCACAAGTCCACCTGCAGGAAGTGGTGGAACTAACCCGGGAAGTAATGGAAACAGTATCACAACACCTGGAAACTCTGTACCCCCTCCTCTTCCACGATCAAACAGCCTTCCACACTCTGCAGTCTCAAATGCTGGCAGTAAAAGCAGTGTCATGGATGGTGCCATTGCTTCTGGCGTTAGTAAATTTGCAACCTTATCGCTACACGATCGGAAGGAAAGACACCATGAAAAAGATCACAAGAGAAACCATAGCATGGGACATATATCTAGCAAGAGCAGTGACAAACTGAACCTAGTTACTAAAACCAAAACGGACCCAGCTAAAACTTTGGGAACACCTCTCTGTCCCCGAATGGAAGATGTTCCCTTGTTAGAGCCTCTTATCTGTAAAAAGATAGCACATGAAAGACTGACTGTGTTAATTTTTCTTGAAGACTGTATAGTCACTGCTTGTCAGGAGGGATTTATTTGCACATGGGCAAGGCCTGGTAAAGTGGTAAGTTTTAATCCTTAATGCTGCATCAAAGAACTAGAACTCTGAATAGATAGTTTTCTTGAAATATAAATGAATGTTGAATATAAAATTTCTTTATGCTTAATGTAAAAAAAAATATCCTCAGAGCCATACTTTTGGATACTGCATGCCATATTTCTGAATGATTTGAAGTGTCTTGGATACAATTATTAAGTATAGTTGCCTTCCAGCAGAAGAAATAAATACTGTGCATCTAAACTATTGATCAGTGTTCTTATACTTAAGCATAACCACAACATGGTGAAAGCTGTTTATGTAAAAATTGAAGTAAAACCTGTCAAACACTAAAATAATTATAATCTTTCTAATGTTTTCTACAAAATACAGCACTCCCAATGAGAGTAGCTTATGAAAAGCTGCTGCTTTTTAAGTCTAATGAGAAATGTGAGCCTCTGAAAAAATTAAAGCCAAAGTGTTTTATTCCTCCATACTTTTCTGTGGTGGCCTGCCATTAATGTGAAACCACTTCTTATTCAAACATCAGGCATTTTATGCACAGATTTGTGAGCCCTGTACTGACTGTAGCTTACGCTCTTGAAATTGTGAATCAGTATTATCAAGAAACTCTAATTTTAGCCAGGTATTGATTTATGTATTTAAGTTAGATAAAATCCTGCGAGCTTTCTCTGAGTAGTTTCAGTGTTCTGTTCCTGTCAGGTTTTAGGCAATTCGATCATCGACAAGCTCGTGCTTTTGATGGCACCTGTTCCATCAACTGAACCTACATTAAAACCTATTACTAGTTCTAACTCTTGTTGTTAATGCACTTGAACACCTATAAAACTTTATTTTTTCTTCTGTCCAATGTATAGCAAGCTAAATTTTTAATGACGCTAAATGTGGTGATTCTTTTATTAAAAAGTACTTTGTGCTACAGTAGCTCTGTCTGCCAGCAACAGTTCAAAGGAACACGGCTATGAAAACATTGCCAGAGTTGGTCTAGCAAAAAAGGACCATTATTTTTGTGAAGGTTTCTGAAAGGGGATGTAGATTATCACCTGAAGTAAAAGAGATTATCTGGTAATACCTGAATACTGCCACCTTGGGCAACCTAAATGAAAATCTGTTGTTAGGTTTTAACCACTTGGTTCATAAATCTGACTTTTGAAGTGGAGGTACTGTATATATTTAGATACCACATCTTCATTGCTATAAACTTCCAAGTAAAACTCAATAATTTTTCTTTAAACATGTTTATATAATGTAGGTTTCTTTGAGATGTTATCAAATTTGTCACAACATAGGCGTATGCATAGAGAGCGGTGTCTGCTCTGCATCTTAATACATATTTAAAGGTTGAATCTAAAACTAAAAATTGTAAACCCTTCTCTGGGGAGAAGGGAGGAGGGTATTACCTAAAAGTATTTTTTTGTCTGAGAACTAGAGATCCAGCATTAATGGGAAAAAAAAAAAAAAAAAGAGCACTCCCTCAAAATACTAAACTGTTTAAAATTTTTGTCCTAAATGAAAATACTAAAGCAGTTATACTTTTGTGGCTCAGTGCACTTCACATCTTATGAATTAACTTTAGATGCTTACAGCAGTGCCTCAGATTGCTATTGTGAGCTGTATTATCTTTTGGTTCTAAGACTCCTTTGCATACTACTAAACACTACATTGTTACATTTATTTTCAGTGGCTGAGGTGGGTTTTGTTAGACTGAGTATAACTTAAATATTTTTGTGTATTGACTTTGATTTGGAATGTGACATTTCAAATATTTCAGAGATAAAGTATGCAGTACCAAAAATCAGGATTTATGTATTGGCCAATATGGAAAACTTTAATTACAGGTAAGTAATTTTCATGCTGAAGTTATCACTTTCAAAATTAATATATTGCACACTGATGTAAATGCCATATTGTTTAGGATGTATTTACTTAGAAATTTTCGAATTAATTTGTTTTTCTGATTTCACTTGCATTTCTAGTGAGCTCACTCTGCTGGTAAAAACTAAATTTTGATGGCATGTTTACAGGGCTTTGATAGGAAAATACTTGTGCCAGAAGGACGTTATAAGCATCCTTTTTGTTTATAGGAAAGCACTTAATTTTATTTAATGAGAATTGTCAAAGTATAAAACACTCACGGTGGTGTCTTTCTTACTGGGTTATATACCATCATTTCTGTTTCTCCAGCTGCTTTATCCTAGGCTGTCCCATTACTCTGGGGTTTAAAGTTGCTATTTCTAGTCTTCCTTTGAAATATGGGTCCCCAAATGATCTTAAAACTCTGTCACTTTTTCGTCTGCCAACTCTGTAGAGGGAAAACCTCTGAGTCTTGCTGCTGTTTCCATCATTGCCTTCAAAAGACCTTCAATAAATTGATGCCACTGCCAGCCTAAAGAAAGAATTGGATGGAAAAGTGAAGGAGGCTTGCTGTGTCTAATCTAATTCCCATTTATTCTACCTTTCCCTCTCCTTTCCAGTATCCATCAAAAGACATGCTGGATAATTGGACAGTGTATAAGTTCTGTTTATTTTTCTGGTTGGGCTGGTGCTGCCCTGAGTGGAAAATTAATCCAGAAGTGTCTCTTCAGCCATGATCCTTATGCTGGTCGATAGGCTGTGCAGTGCTGACAGTGCCCTGGCAGTTGGTTTATAAACCTTCCAAATTATTGCTTCTGTGTGTCCCAAATCATACCTTGAGCTTCCTCACGGGAGGTGCCGTTCTGGCACTGCACTTCCAGAACTGCCGTGTGAAATCCCAGTCAGTGAGGTGAAGTGAATGGCAAAATTCAATTAGAAGCAAGTTGGATGAGGCTCAGGGTTCATTAGTTTCAATTTTTGGATCTCATTTTTTGTTAGCCTGTTTCTGTGGAGTAAGGTTCAGGTGGTGAGAAGAACAGGTTGCCTTAACAGGAGTATGAACTTTTCTTCTCAGTGTGGTGACAATGAGCTGTCATCTCTCACCCCTGCCTTTCCCAGGCCCTTTCCCAGGTAGGAAACCTAAATAGGGTTACAGAACTCTTGGATTAATCTGAAAACGTAGCAAAAGTATTTTAAAAAGCAAACGTAGCAAAAGTATTTTAAAGGAACCAAGGTAAACTTTATGTGCTCTCTTTGTAGCTACTTCAAACTGAATTACAGGATCTGCAGAAGCAATTAAAAAAACCCCAACAAAACTCCCCAAAAAACCGAAGTAACTGGATATGCAAAACAGCTTTTCTCTGAACTTAGTGGTCAGAGGCACAGCCTGTGTGATTTGTGTTTGACTTCAGAATTTAGTATTCACCGTCTTTGCAGCGACTCCATTTTACGTGAATGAAAGTTGCTGATGAGTTTCCTGTGTGAGAAAGCTCGAGGTAAGATTAGCCAGAAGCACCCCCAGGTGAAATGGCAGTGTATAACCTAGCAAGAGAAACACGCTACCACTTTGTAAAACAAATGCACATGGAATTTATTTATTTGACTTATTGTACAGGAAAACTTAAGACTTAAATTATAACATCCTTGAATTTTCTAGTTAACTACAATTGTAGTACAGTATCATGTTTTAGTATGATTTCTGTTTTAGTGAAAGTACTTAAAACATTCATGTACTATATTTGAGTGAGACGAGCAGCTATACATACTAATTCTTCCTCAGTGGAAAGGAGCATTTCATCATTACAATTGAAGTTCAATTGCTGGTATTTAAGTACTATCAAATAGATTTCTTTCAACGTGATACGGTATCTGTATAAACTTCAGGGATGATTATAGTAAAACTGAAACACAGCTCTACGACTTCAGGTTACCATGCGAAAATTTGAAGCTTTCTGTGATGTGCATAATAGCAAAGTTGCACACGGCCTACCCCCATTATCAGGGTGAATTAAAGCCTAGTACACTGGTGTGATATTTATAGCAAGGTGTGTGTGTGTGTGTGAGTGAGGAGGTGTGAGTAGTGGCTCCAGTAAAGCCAGGAGAGATCATAACCCTGTAAAGGCTTTATGATTAGGATGTCTGGACTAGGAAATAACATGACTTTTACTAAACACTTTCTAGAAAACCCATGTTCTGAATTATCACCTCTTAAAATTTGAGTATGTACTTGGAATGACTGTATATGTCTGCCCCTTTAACAACATAAAGCTACTAAATTAATATTTAAAATGCTGGCCTGCTTATGTTACAATAATAAAATTTGTGTCAGTTAATTTACTGTCAATTTACATGTAAAGATTAAAATATTTTTTCTGCATTTTATGATTCTGTATACTGGAGTTTGTTAAAGATTGACATGTTAGGTGATACTGTACAAAATTGTATTGACTACCTTTAGTGAAAATCAGAAGTAAAATTCATATGTATTTCCTTTTTACACTTCCATCTAATTTCTTGACAACTTGAATAAATTTCATAGAGCCTTTCTAACATGAACTATTGTTAATTTAACTGTTGCAATAATTAAGCTTTAAGAAGTATTGTTGGTATATTTATAATTTTAAGAAGATCATGTTTGTTTCATACTGCTTATTTTTAGCTGTTCTATTGTCACTGTTACAGCTGAAGAACTTTACTAAATACTTGACATTACAAAATAACTTGCTGGGGTTGTCCTCTGTATACTGATGTTAAATAAAAATGTGTGATTGAACTGTAAATGTAGATAACTTTCAATAGTCCTTTCCACATTTGAGTTTTAATTTATCTTGCAGTCCTTAGGTGGTCTTATGCCATCACACTGTGCTGAGCAAATGGCCACAATGGAACTGTTAACTTGCCATATTTTAAAGTCAGAAGTTGTTGGCATCTGTAACTGCTCTGAGTCAATGTTTCACTTCATCTCAAGACAATGCAGATGTTTTGATGTTTAAATCTTGCTGATAAGGTCATGTCTTATGATAGCTGTTTTTTTAGGACTAGAGTAACATGTAACAGAATACTCACCAAACCGCTTTTTGAGCTTGTTTAAACTCAGATCCAGTAGAACACAGACACGGGTGTGTTCAGATTCTCTCTGCCTGTCAGGCAGGAGCTGGGGCAGAGCGTTGTCATTCCTTCTAGGACTCTACAGGAGCTCTTTCCTCTAAGGACTCTGGTGCAGGGTTTGTTCTTGATTCCAGCTTTAGATCTTGGTGTTTTACCTAATGAATGCTGAATTTACAGCCCCGAGGATGTGGCTCATACAGATGATTCAAGTGAGCCAGAAGTAAACTACTGTAAAACTTTGGCTGCAAAATTTCTCGGGAGTCAATTTCAGTGAAGACTTAAGATGTTCCCCTTCCATTTGAGGGACTAAGGATTGTGTCACCCTTGCAGCAGTGGTTCTGTGTTAACTGGTGAAAGAGCCACGCAAATGATATTTACTAAAGTGTTTCAAAGGAATTTTTTGGATTTTCAGTGTAAAAGTGAGTTACTTTGGGCCCAAACTGACAGGGAGGAGTGTTTGTCTCTTTATGCAAAAATACTCCCTAGACTAAAGCTGAGGGAATCGTCTTTCTGAGGTGAATTTGAGAACTCTGTGGTACTTCAGAAGGTATTGATTGACCGCTGTGATGATCTATACATAGAACATAAATGTACATTTAAGAACAGCTGCCAGTACAGGAACAAAATGAAATCTGCTTGAAAGCTTCTGGGAACATCCATCAAATGATGCAAGAACTGCTTGGTCAAACCAGTTTCTCTCAAGTCAGTGTGAGCCTGAAACAAAACCAGCTTCCACAGGGTTTGTGGTCAGAGAAGATACTTGGCAAAAAGATGTCTTGGAACATGAAGGCTTCATCTTACTTGTCTTTAATAGTGTTGCACAAACTTCTCAAGGAAATAACTTGTATGATCATGTTATTTTCTGGGGTTTTAAGCTGGATTTTAGGTAGGTGCTGGTCAACCTTATCAAATTCATTCAGTTCTTTTCTTCTGCTAAGACCATGTTCGTGTTACAGCTAACCCAGATGAGGTTGCCTAATTCATATGCTTTTCCCTGGTTTATCTCAATTTTGTTATTTTCTAATCTGAAAATTTCACACCTTACCGACTTTTGTAGTTTGAGGAAACTAGAGAAACTGTGAGCCCACACTACCTGTGTGAAGGTTAAGGTCCTGTTGTTCCAGGCAGGTCAGATCTCTGCTGGCAAAAGCCTTTTTAGCCTTTTCCAGCACACAAGTAGTTGCATCTTAACTTTTTTTTCCCCTCTTGGATGTGCCTATCTTCCATTCAGCAATCATACACTGTTCTTGAAGTCATCTTGCCTAATACCACTGGACAGGTTTTTAGTTAGTCTGCTGGGTTTCTACCAGCCTTGACTTTGCTTTTTACTGACAATGAATAAAATGGTGACACAGGTCTGTTAGGAAAAAAACTCCTTTATGTACACACAAAAGAAGTTGCAAGTGAAACCTTCAAGCCACTACAGTCTTTTATAAGGCCTGGTGTCAAATGGTTTAAGCACTTATGCTTTTCTGTAATGCTGTTAGAACAAAGAAAAAAAGGCAAATGGAAGACAAACAATACATTTAAAATCCCATTTTACAAACTGTGTAAAGCTTTGCTGTACCCCCTAAATCCCATACAATTTGTTGCATGTTATGGGAATGTTCATCATGTGCTTTCCTGAGCATTCTCAGTTAAGCAATTTTATCTCCATTAGAGATTAATATCTGATTTAGTGAGTAGATGCTGTTCAGAGACTTTTATCGAAATGAATCAGCATTTATTTAACAAGAAACTGTTGGAGAATTTGTTTGTGCAAACCTTAAAACCAGTTCAGCTGATTTGACTACGGAAGTTTAAACAAATGTGAGAAATCTCATTCTGTTCTTGGCATATTATTGCTGAAATACTGTAATGGATGTGGGCTCTTTTGTCGAGCAAAGGTCTCAGTCGAGGTTACTTTGCTAATTACTCCACAAATATCATAGTTCTGGACAAGAATAAACTACCCATGGAATATTTTCAAATAATAAATTCCCGTTATTTCATATACTGGGATTAATAGAAATGGTTTAACAAGTCAGTGCCATTTTTGTATGGACATTTGTTAATTCAGCCATATTTTAATTGGTTTAATTGCATTAGTGAAGTGTTCTATGAGACTTTTTTTTTAACACTGGATTGTTTGTTGCGTTGAACCCTTCATTTTTTCTACCTTTCAAAACAGAAAGTAGAAAGAGGAGCACAGTTTGTCATCCAGCACATTCCTGAGAGCCAGGGGAGCTGTTTCCCTGAAGGAGTTGCTCCTGTCCAGGGTGAAGGGAGTGTGTGCAGAGAGCCCTGTGAAGGAGCACAGAGATGTGCACTTTCCATATCTCGCTCACATGTCCAAACTTGCCGTTTATGATTGCACCTTTGGCTCCAATTAAATCTGTTCTAATTTAGACGAAGAAAATATTAACTCAGGAGTTACTGTTGACTTTTTTCCTACTTAGAAGTATCGTAGTATCTTCCTCTTTTTTTGTTTTTAATGCAGCAATTACATGCTGATCTCTCATAGAATTAGTTTCTGTTGTGAAACCTTATGTTTTGTGTCTTTAGAAAAAAAGCCAGACTTTTGTCTGGACTGTATGTGGCATTTTAAAAAAAATACCCCACTCCTGCAATCTCGTGAAGTGGGAGGAGAGTTTGTCTTTGCTGCAGGTCCTCAGACCACAGCTCTGAGTGCCCTGAACCTCAGGTGCAGGTGACTCTCCTGATCCTGTTTGTTGGGGCTTTTCATTCCTACCCACACAAGCCTGTTTTTACCAGACATGCAAAGTCCTGTGTGTTTGAGGAAGTCAGAGAATGTGTGGACAAACACGGATAGCCCCAGCAGACACTGCTGAAACAGCCTGTGTTCAGTACTCAGTGCTAATTGATTGAGGATAAGGGACACCATCCTCTGAAAGCTGTATCTGCCAGCTGCAGTGTCCATTAAGATGGCAGATGGGACAGCACCCACTTGGAGGACCCTACGAGGTTGAGATGAACAGTGTTTTATCAAATTCCTGCACTGTATCTCATAACTCCTCCATTTCCCACCCCCTGCTAGATTCACTTGCTGACAGACTACTGCTACTCCTGAAACACTACATTTGTTTCCAAAACCTTTTTGAGCAGTCTCTTAATTTGTCAGTGCTGCTTTCTCAGTGGGCTCTGTTTGTCCCAGAGCCTGAAGCTGCTGCAGAACCCTGCAGAGCAGTGGCTGCCACGGCTCTGCTCTTCCATGGTCCTGTCACAGCTGTTCAGTGGGGCAGCTCGCATGTTGCCCCAGTAAGTTGCTGCAGCTTCTGTTCCATCTTTTCCCACCTGCTTGACCAGACTGGGTGGGTCTCATCACAGCAGGCACTGTGCTCTAATGGCTTTACTCTTTCCTTACAGACAGGGGCTTTTTGTATTTTTTCATAACCTTACCCATCCTATTATTCCAGAGAACACAATTACAGCTGTTCTAGTCCCACACCCTTTGTATTACAGACCAGACTGTTATAGGGGAGCTTTTGTATCAAAAGAGTAACTTTATTTGAGCCCTCACTTGCTTTTCTAATGTTTTTAAAGTTTCCTGTTACACCTGACATAACCTCTTTCATAGCCTTGCTTGGAAGGCTCTGGTATAATGGCAGAATTCTGTACAATCTTTGTTTCTCAGGATGCATGAAGAGCTCTCACCATTTTGGTGAAACTTCTGTGCCTAAAAACCAAATTCATATTCTTGCTTTTCTCGTATCTAAGATGTCTTCTGAAATTAAGTACTTGGAAATGCTCACAGACTTTCTGGTCTCTCCAGTGCGAGTGAAGTTCTGAATGGCCCTTGTAGCCTGGTTCCAAGTTTTAAGGCAGGACTTTTTTTCCATCTGCAGGAGCAGGAGGATATTGATCTTGAGATCATTTCCACATCCGTGTTCCTCTGGCTTGCCTGCTCAGAGTTGCAGAATTAATTCAGAGCAAGGACTGAAATATTGGGAGTTCCTAGGACTCACTGAAAGCCCTCTGCACTGCACTGCTGCTCTTTAAAGCAGAGAGTATTTCTGGCCTGGGAGATGAAACCAGGACTGAGTCCTTGTTCCTACGTTTGGAACTTGAATTCCAGGCTGGCTGGTAGTTACAGAGAATAAGGCACCGCATTGAATGTCAGTATGTGCTGCCAGTTTCTAGAGGAATTCCAGGAAAATGAATGACTCTTCCTTTTGTTTCCCAACAACTGGTTGTGTTACAGTGTAAACCCAATACTAGGATAGTGGTTATTTCTCCCTCTCTCTAGCGTGGTTATGAGCCTGTTGAAAAAGATCTGATGTCATGCCATCCCTAGTGCTTCCTGTGTGCTTATAAAGCACGTATTTGCATATGAATAGTCTGGATTGCTGATTTATTAAAGACTGAAAATAATACCTTTGGACGTCTTTTTCCAGGGTACTTGAAAGTTGCTTAGTGGATGTAATCTTCTGGCAAGAAAGACCTTCCAGTTGCTGCTGGATTTAATAGACTTGTGAAGAATGCTTCAGTAATGAACTAGAGAGTTCTGATTCATCCTCATCACTTTCCAACAAAAATTCCTTGGTAAAAAAATTCAGAAGTGCTTCAGTGGCTTGTTTGCTCTAAAGTTCTGCCTTCTTTCACCATCTAGTCCTTAACTAATAACTAGGAAACTTCTTGTTCTCATGAAATATGCAGTATCTTTGCACAGCCTGAATGTCAAGTACAAAGAACAACCCACTTCAGTCTACCTCAACAGTGTGAGAATCACAAAACCCCTGCGTAAACAAGTACAGATAAAAATAAGTGTTCATGTTCCTTCAGGTGAGATCCATGGAGGGCACCAAATGAAGTGCCACATCCTTTATTTATAAATACATCTTATAATAAATATGGAATGTGTGCATGTGTACACAGACCCAGAGTCTGCTATAAATCCTGCAAACTATCCAGGCTCATAACGTGTTTGAACTGGTACATCAGGTGGTTTTTTAAAAGGAAGGGCTTTGGTTTTAGTAGAAACTTGATGACTTGAATCCAACCAGTCTGGCCGTCTTTCCACATCTTCCATCAGTCATGGCCTCTCGTTTCTTGGATCCAAGCATGAAAGAGCTCCTGTAGATTCTGAAGAGGGGACATAATTCTAACTTGTATGCTAATTGCTGCCTGAGCTTGTCTAGTTTGATGGATCTGAGTCCTGGGATCCTAATTTTGAGGTAAGGACCTAAGCTGGGAGCTGCTTAGGGGAGTTGCTGAAAGTGCATTTATCATGCCTACATGGTGAGGAGTTGCATGGGGATAGTCTCTGGTGTGCTTCCAGCTGCCAGAGTGCTCCTCAGCCTGCTGGCACTCGTTAGAACTAAGTAATGACCTTGAAAGAATGTTAAATTGTATTTTGATATTAAGCTTTTCCTAAATAAGTCTGATGAACAGTTACTTCTACATGATTGATTAAAAAGGGGCTACTGTGCACAAATCTGAAATGCAGTCTGTCCATTGGTATCCACAGGTCTATCCATAGGTACAGTTGCCTTAACCCAGAGCAGTAGCCCCTGTGTAGTGAGGGGGCTGAAATGGAACAGGTCTCTGTTGATTTGAATGGCAGGGTGGATAAAGGAGCTGGTTAAAAGCTTTCCTGAATGTGAGCTTAAATTGTCATGGGAAGCTTTTACTGAGCTTTTGTCAGTGTTTCATTCTCTTTTAAAATCACCAAAACAAATATCTGGTTAGATTATCTATTTTTCTGTTCAAAGCTTGTAATACTCAATCACATAAAAGAGATGGAGTGCTTCCCTGTCCGGTCAGGTGTCAAACTTGTTGATAGTGGAATAGGTTTGTTTGTCACTGCCCTAATAAAGTACTGATCACTTTTTTGGTGTATGATTTTTAAAGTTTCACAGTTCACAGTGACTCAAAGTGCAAGGTAGATTAAACCAAATGCTGGGATCAGATCTTTCCGTGTCCTAAACGCACACGCTTTGTTCCTGACTGAGAGCTCTTTGTGTGCTGCTTGGCTGAGACCGTGGTGGTTTAGAGCCTGTGTAGGAGAAGGTGCTGATGTCTGGAGTAAGCAAGTGGTGGTAAAAATAAATTGTACTCATTGTAGGTTCAGGTTAAGAACTTTATAAAATTCATGTCAGGTTCTCTTGCTGGATTAATGTAAACTGCTTTGTTTGCAGGGTTTATTGTCATCCCAAAACCAGGCCAATTCTCCAAGTGGAACTGTAGTATAGCCATCACACTACTGCTAGCAAATCTCTGAACGCAGGACAAGAAGTAATGACAGTGGAACCAGGAGCTGTTCTTCAGGCAAAGAGCATCACAAATTTTAATGTGGCAGAGTGTAAACATGGAATTATGTGAATCACATAGTGACTTGCAAAGGACAAATGCAATGGGTTCTCACTACAGCCGATCCTGGTAGGCTGCTCACCCAAGGAAGAGTTTGCATTGGAGAAAAAGCAAAAAGCTTCCTTCGGTGCTGCAGGAAAAAGTAGTAACATATTTGGTTTTCTTTATACTTTTCAAGTCCAGTGTAATTTAATCTCTCTATATAAATATATAAATAAAAGATATATATATATAGTGTAAAATAAGATATGTTTCTTAAATTCAAGTAAGTTCAATGGTTAAACTAGTACTTCACCATTGTTTATTTTGCACTGATTTTTTTAACCAGAGATGGCTAGAAGACAGCCTGGAATGCACTCATGGAAAATGAAAGTCATTACTTTCTGGCTTCAAAATGTTATTCAGGAAGATGGATGCTGCAATCATAGATTTTTTTAAAACAAAATTGTTTTGCACTTAAATAGTTTAATGCTAATAGAGAATTACTTTAAAATTGGTGTTCAGACACCAGAAAAACTATGTTGTGGAGAAAAGATCCTTTGTATCTATTAAACATTTATTTTAATATTGTTGTTTTCAACTGCAATCGGCTCTGTATTATATGTATAAATAATGTAATTCAGTGATGGGGGAGGGGAGTAACGGATCATTACACTAGAGATTCTCATTCATTTAAGAAAGTGATATTTCTAATTCAGAAAATACATATTAAACTATCTTGAATATGCATTTTTGTTTACTTTCTGTTCAAATTCGATCACTTTTGATGTAACCAATCCTTTGTTGAATTAAATGTTTGGTACAGAAATACTATCTAAACTTTGTAGAACAAATTCCTTTCAAAAATATCTCATCTAGAATATTACTTCTTATTTAATAGAGTTGAATGTCACTTAGGAAAGTGAAATACAATTGTTCTGTTCTCATTCCTAACAGCTGATCTCACATAATGCACATAGTGCAGTTTAAGCACATCCTAACTCAAGTCTCACAGGCAGAGCTCCTTGAGGTAACCATGTGGTCTCGTGTGTTTGAGTTGGGCAGTGGAAGATCCCAGAGCAGTAGCCGTACACTCTTTCTGACTTGGCAGTCAGAAACTGGGTCAACATACTGGAGTATTCTGAGACTCTTGTGTTTTACATCAGGCATCTCATTTATAATTCAACGCTCTTAAACTGATACGTGTAACAGGGTCAGACAGATCCCTGGATTTGCAGAGGTTTGTCTGAACACTCCTCATTTTTAACCAGTCAGCAACACAACGCTTAAATTGTTTTCAGTAGTTCTTGCAAAGATTAACTCCTCTTTCCCCCCAGAGATTCTGCTCCATGTCAAGCCCCAGAAAATAGAAGTATCTGTCACACCCTTCCCTTTCTGCTATGTAGCAATGATCACAGTTGGGATTTGTAGAATCCTGCAGGCAGAGTGGAACAGAGGCTGCTCGCCTGGGACTGTGAACTCGCCCAAGGGTGCACGAGCTGTATCTGAGGCACATGTTACTGCCCTTCCTGCTCTCCACCAATAAAGCCTGGTAGAAATTTTTTAATTACAAGTAAAATTTAGACATTTTCTGGCATGAGAAGTGATTTTTTTCCCCCCAAAATTAACAACAATTTTGGGGAAAAGCAACTGCAGTAGCTCCTTGTAACTAAGTCTTACTCTTGCTATGCAGCCATGTAGGGAACTGCCAGATACATTTATAAGCTGGGAATTAATTGCCTACTTCATTGAAGATGGAGCTGTACTTTATAATGCTTATCTATTTGTGTTCTTCTAAAATATAAGGGATGGGGAAAATACTGAAACTGAGCAGGATTATTGTTCAGAAGTCTGGTTTTATTAACATAATGGGTTTAACTGTTAAAATACAGATAAACCTTGCCACTGAAAACCAGTGTAGTTATCTCTCTGTAGACTTCTTTTATGTATGTGCTTCATACAGTCTGAGTCAAAATGAAATGGTTGAAAAAATATGCAGTAACTTTAAAAGACTTTTTTCCTTCAGCTGAAAAAATACAAAACCAGTCTGGAAAGAACTGCAGTATCCAACATCAGGGTAACAATGGCAGCTCCTTGTATCCATGTTGTCCCTGCCACAAATCCTAGTTCAGCAGCACACAAGGAATGTGTGGGTTTTCTTTTTTCAGCCTCTTCTTTACTATTTGGGCAATCATCTAGAAGTTTGAACTGCTCGTGCCATACTCTTTACCATATGGAAAAAAAAACTTATAGGAATAAATAGGATACTAATAACTTACCTGGAAAGAACTTTAGAGTTCTACTGTAGATACAGCTCTTAATAAACTTTTTTCCTACTACATTAAAAAAAAAAATTAAAAGTGAGTGGAACACAAATAATCTCAATATGGAATTTCAGCTGAAAGAATGAGGGTAGGAATAATACTTGCCAATTTGCAGTTTAAAGTTGGATTTATTATAGCTATAAAGCAGGTGGGAAAACTTGAGTTTGCCTATTCATCCAACTGCCAGAGAAGTGTAAATTGTCTCCAGAGGTTTAACAGCAAAGAACTTGTGATGAAATAAATATGCTCGAAGCACTGTATGTGCCACACTGTGTAAGATCCACCTGAAAGTGTAAAAGAAATGAAGAAAAATTCCAACATGGTCCTTGACTTATTTCAGATTTGCAGTTTTCACAGCAAAAATGATCTGCTGAATGTGAAATTGCCATTTTCACGATAACAGCCTGACAGCCCCAGGTACAGGGTGTGTGATAACACACAAGATGTTATTGTGGTAGCCTCTTCTCTTCAGGTTAAAACTTATCAAGAATTCTGACTTTGTATTTTTCCTGGCATATGAATAATTATCCCCCATATATTAATTATGGAAGGAAACTGGCAATAACATTCTTGAAATCAGGAAGGTACCAAACTGTGCAAACACAATTTGAGGGATTTTTTTTTTTTTTTTAGTTGAAATAGTTAAACTTCAGCATCTGTGGTTTGAGGCTTCTAGAAAAAGATTACAGGAAGCTACCAACACAATGAATACATCTCTATCAGGAACACAGTTCAGCTAATCTGAGCTTTGACCTCCTCCTAGGTAAGAGAGCTCTGAGTGGGAACAATCCGTCAAATGTGGGTAGTAAGATTTGTCCTCTATTTTTTCTAAGGAATTAACAACAGTGGAGAGCAAGTTCCCTTGGATCCAGTAAGTTACCTATTTTTAGACCATCATTTTTACTCCTGCACGCTATGCTCAACTTCAGATATATTAGCACTAAGCAACTCACCATTTTCCTCTCTGGAAAAAACACTGGATAAGCTCATGGCACCTTCTGCTCAGAATTCCAAAGGTAAGAAGTCTGAGGCTGCTGTTACACTGTGTTGCCTATAGACTTGCAGTCCTTAATTCCATTTTTTAAGTGTAGTATCACACCTTTCTTATATATATATATGTATATATACTGATGCTAATATTATATATACATATAAAATATATTTAATGTATATATAAACCTATGGTAGTTATTCAAACAAATACAGGATTACCTTATTGTTGAAGTATAAGTCAGTATAAGGTGCTAACATGAAAGCAGGACAAAATAGAGAGATGATTAATTGGAACACGTAACAGAGCAAGAAAACTCACCCAGTCACTGTGGTTTTATGTACCCTCACTGCACTTGGAGATACCCTGGTCAGGAGCACATTTTCTGCTCGGAACTGGAGGAAAGCAGCGTCCATCCACATGAGTTACCTGTACCATTGTGTTCTGCAGTACAGGTACGAGGGGCAGCAGTGCAGGTTTCCCTGCAGAGCCTTGTTTAAGTGCTGTAGCCTTATTTTACAAGAATTCTTGCTAGGGTGGGATATTCTTGTTCTTGAGATTCTGAAAGTTTGCTATGAACAAACAGAATAAATTGAACAAAGGTACATGATGCAGGTGCCCAATATTCAACTTGGACAGTCAAATTTGAATAAATACCAAAAAATGACTCCCACAGTATGCACCACATTTACCCTGTGAATATTTTCACATTTTAAAGAATCTGCTAGTAAATGTCACATTGATCCTCAGTACAGTATGTGAAAATAATACCTTCTTCAAAACATGAAGACAAACATAAGATAGACAAGTGCTTTTAAGCAGTAGATGCCAAAAGGACTCACAAAGAACTTGAGTCTCATGAGCTTCCCCACACTGAAAAGCTACAGTGTAGAATTTGGGCATGCTCAAAGTTGTCCAGAATCTGAAAGATAGAACAAGGAATAGGATTAATCCAGTCACAACAGAACCTTAAAAGTGTTGAGAGGCTTCTTCTTAAAAAAACAACCAACCAACAAACCACAACAAAACCCCCACCTACTTAAAGACCTCAAATTGAGTAAGAAGAATTTTTTTTCCCCACAAATGCACAGCCCTACAGTTTCAGAAGGAGTGCAATGACAGCATAATGGGCATAACCTCTATTCTAGATGACTTGTATCTTTATGTTAACCTGTATTTTACTGCATTGTTTCAGCGGCATCTTAACTGATGAGAAATAAATAGTTTGGATTTAGAGCAGTAATCTCAAATTGGTGCCTAAGGCTTGGACATGACGTGCTCCCCAGTTTTTCATGGTGCCTCTCTCACAACACGCCCTTTGCCTCCTGCTCATGACTGGGTTTTTGAACAGCAGCACCAAACCCCAGTGTTTGGTTATGAAAAAAAAACACTGATCACTTCCCAATTACAAGCAGAGTAACTCCTATAACTTATCATGGCTAGGCTTCGCGAACGAAGATTTGAGAAGGGCTCTACCCACGCTTGCTACAAGCGTGCTGATCCTATAACTTATAAACCTCAAAAAAAAGATATTTGCCAAACCTGTCCTGCATAAACACTTGGTAGGCAGAAGATTTTTAACCCCCCAGCTGAGTATGACTTGCACAGACTCTTGTTTTCTACGTAACAAAACTGTTCTGTAACACATCACCAAACTTAAGTATAGCAAATTAACGCAAATTTTTAGATCTCAGGAGTTTTAAAGTCAACGGTATCAAGTTGGAATAACGATTCTTTCCAAGTAAGATAAGGATGTTGCCTTTTAACTCTTACCTTTTATAGCAATAGGAAACTAACATTCTGTTAAATTGTTACTGATGATCTGTGTGCAAAATTTCTGAAGGATGATGAGCTACATGCCTTCACTGTGCTTTTAAGCAACTGGTTGCAATATCAGTGCCTGTTAAGACTTTTGATTTAAGTTCAGATCAATGGCTTGAAGCAAATTATGACTAAATTTTGTTTTGCTTTCGAAAAAGTTGGTTTAGCTTTTAGCTAGCTTATAGTTACATAAAAATATTCAACAGTTACAGAAACTGCATCAAAATCAAGTATCTCATGTGATTGCACAATCTGCACGTTCTCAGTAAAACCTGAGGTGGAAGTTGCTGAATACAGATGGAGAATAATTTCCAGAGCTGACCAAAAAAGAAATAAAATTTAAATCTGAAAAAAATACAGCAGTTTGCTGACATTGGTAATGTAATCTGAAAACTTATGCTCTGTAGATAACATTCCATTCCTAATACTCGAGCTCAAAGAATCCTTTCATGTTATTTTTAACCAACCTCCTCCTCCACCAGGTTCTAAAAGGAACAAATACTTAGGAAGTTAAATGCGGAATGCTCCCTGTGCTCTGCCAGAACAATGCTTTAATTAAATATTGACCCACTTCAGGAACAGAATACCAAAATGATAGGAGAGCAGCCCTCAAACCTTGTGGGGGTTTCCTACAAATTGTCAGAGTAACACAAAAGCAGGCACTGCTGTTCTTGTTAGCTCTTTAACAGCAGAAGCACGCCTGGGTCTCTCTTCACTGCACAGCCGTGCTTTTCCTCACTCCTCTTCCTTCTAAAGCAGGCGAGTGGAAATGTTTCAGGGAAGACTTAAATGCCTTCTGTTTCTCAGACTGTTGAGGAAGCAACAGAAGTTTGAAATACGCTTCAATGGGCGAGTGAGAGTCGACACCTCAGTGTTTGATCCAATAAATTTAACAGACTGGAACACAGGGGTTCCACTGCTTTCCTTAGGTGCCCGGAAAACTGCAGTGTAGGAGTAGAACAGGAAGTCAATTTGGCTACTCCAGAAGAATTTCATTTTGGTAATTCTCCAAGAGGAGATCTGTTTTGTTTTGGTTTTTTTATCTGGACTTTCCTAAGAGAATGCTTTTAAATAAATAAACAAGGTTCAATTTTTTCTAAGAACATCTTTAGGAATAAAATTAAAAGAGAAAATCCAAATAATCAGAGAAAAAAAACCCAAACCTCAGCCAAATACTATTTCAGCTCATTCTTTTATAAAAATTACTTGCCTCACTTGATGTTTCTTGCTATCTTTCCTAAAGGAACTCCTCACAAAGCCTACATTGATGAACTCCAGAACTAAACTGATGGAAAAAGTGGCTGCCTCCTATGGAAGGAGAGTTCATGCTTTCAAGGTTGAATGCACAGCAGAAAATAATTTATAGTTTTTCTTTGCCACTCTAGCAAGGGTTTTTTCTAGAAAAACCTGTATTTGAAAGTTTTTGATGTAGTACTAAGTTCCATCTCACCTTGTTGATACAGCAAACCTTTAAGAATGAATAAGTTTTTTTCACATAGCTGATATATAAACAAAGTTTTAGTTTGCCAGAATTTTTAATCAGATCTTAATTTTTTACTTTGTGTCAAAAACAAGCTTAGGATTTCCCCAGATATCATCTAAATACAGGATAATTAAGTTTAAAAATGATATATTTTTATTTGCTCAAAAATGTAGACTGAAGCCCTGAGAAGGCAAAAGCAAACTTTCTGTGTCTGCCACAACTTCATCTGAAAACTCTTTAAGCCAAAGGCAGACAGCAAAACCAGGATGGTGATATTTAAAAATAAAGGCGGAGCTGACCCTTTAAGTACCGGTAACTCTGACAACAAAGTCTATGAAGGGATTATGGGGTATCAAAGCTTCTAAATTCTAACTCGTGTATGTCAGGGATTTGGGGGGAGGGGGAAAGGCATCAGACCAAATAAAGATCTGTGTTTAGGCAGACGGAATAAACCCAAGTAATCAGCTTAAGTAAAACATTTGTTTCTAGCTAACAAGCTCAGTGCTACAAATTACTTTCTCTAAATGGGCTGACAATTCTTCCACTTAAAATACTACCTGTCTTGGACTTGCCTTTGGAATTTGGCACAAAGACTGAGGTACTTGCCTTTATGTATTTCTTACTAATCTTAATTTTTTGTGCATGGTCAAAGCTTGTGTATCAGGTGCCCTAAAAAGTCTGGGGGAAAAAGAGAAGTAGAAAAAAACATCAGTTGTGCTTTAGGTGAGGTTTGGACTAAAGGCAAAGAATTATGTTGACTTGAGTTACATTAATTGTATTCTAAGCCAAGAACTCGCCCTGGAAGCAAATTTCATTTCAGTCCAGCTGAAGTAAGGACAGCACTCACCCAACGTTTTGATTTTAGTTTTCAAGACTGAAGAGATTTGAAGTCACTTGCCAGAGTTCCTGAAAATAAGGGTGCTGTAATGCTGGATGGGCAGCAGTTCTCTAATCGGAGTCATATTTTATCATTGCATACAGGAGAGAGAAACCTTTGGCAGTCAATTTGTGCACAAGAGGAGGTTTTACTTTTCCATTTTTTAAAGGGGAAATCAAAACTAAAACTTCTTGACCTGTGTTGAGCAAGTTGAGAAAAAAATTATCCATGCATAGTCAGGATTATAATTTACTGAAAAGAATTAATCAGATTTAGGTAATCATTAATTAGGGACAAGTAAGTAGTGCTTGGGAAAAAGATGTTTTCTTTCCTAAAATGTTACATCATTGGCCTTAAAGATACTATGGAAATAAAAGGCCAAATAAGATTGACATAGGCCCAGATTTCCTCTGCTCTGACTGTCTCTGGGTAGGGATAGAAGATGCTGCTCTTGGGTCAGAAGGGAAGGATGTGTTTGTGGTGGCTCCTGGAGCAGAATTTGCACAGAGCTGTACAGATCTGTTGTGGATATTTAAACAGTGGGATTAATAACTGTGGGAGTGCATACTTACTGCTTGAACTTCCCGAGGGTTGTTTTAGCAGGAGTGCCTATAATGTCATGGATTTTTGACATTTGGTCCAGCTCATTAGATCCAAGAAAACTGCAAGGTAAGAGATGGTATCAGCACTAGAGAAGACGCAGATAAACTAGTTTAGTTGCATAGCTGCCACTTTGATTTGAAAAAAAAAAAACCAATGCTTATAAAGAAGATAACATGTTAAGAATTATTCATTTGTGGACAGTTTAATACCTACCAACAACTGCAGGATAACGTGAGCAGCAGAGCAACACAACTGCAGGTTTGGATGGAAAGAGTAGTTCGGGTTTTTAAACAGAAACCTGTAGCTGTAAACTCTCCTCACTGGTTTGGGGTAAAATATGTAAAGAGAACATCCCTCTTGGTGAAGGACAATGGAACTGGGATTGTGTTTACTTGCTAGTAAAGTGGCAGATCCCAGAAGACAATGGGTTTTCCTCATTTTAAGACAGCAGGAGTCAAGCAGTCCCTCTTGCTGTGCATGCACATAGAAATACATATTTATCACACTCTATTCCTAACAAACAGGTTCTTTGCAAGCAGCAGTACTGGAAAGATGGTAATTTGAACTGCATTCCTGAGCTTGATCCTCAGTTAATATAAAACTTGCATAAAGTCCTTGAAAACACCGTTATCATAACAGACCGATCTGACTTTAGTCAGGTCTGCTACTATTTGTTTCCTGTACATGTTACTTTTTTCCTTGGGTTTATAATTTCAGAAACACTTCAGCAGCACCACATGACTCCTGAAAGCAAAACAATCAGTCCTCTTTGTAGAGAGGGTAAACTTCTTTTTAACTGTTTGCAAATTCAATCAAACAGCTGGCTGCACACTACTCTGAATGTCTTCAAAAAGCTTTGAGCTGAGGAAGGAGAGAAAAGATCTGATTCACATGGTGCAGCTGTATCAAGACAGGCAGCTGGGAGTAGCTTCTGTGTGAACAAAAAAATGTGCTGCTGTCTTTGACTGTAAAACTGTAACACAGTGAAGAACAACTGTGCAAGCCGTGAAAAAGTGCAATCCAGGAGTCATGATTTATAAGGAACAGAAAGAGGAAAACCAAGATTTGAAAGATCAGCATGGCTGAGTAAAAGACTAAAAGTTCTTACACAATGCCGTGTAAAGCATAAAGGCTTATGCAAACACTGAACAGCAACAACTGCAAAACGCACTGAAAAAGAAACAATCCTGTCCATAATATCCTTTAGCTTGGCAAGATTATCTCTTTTAATTTGGTAATTTCCAATAAACATCCCTCATTTCTCTCTGAGCACCCCTATGAGGTCTCTGAAAACGTGCACTGGTTGCAAGGAGTGAATTTTTTTACATTAAGCTAAAATTACAAGGAAATATCTTTAAGGGTTTTTCTTTTTGCCCTAAGAAAACTTAAAGAGTTTGCAGTGTGTAATTTTCTTGCCAAACTTCAAAGCCCACCTGATTCAAACTGAAATGAAACAACGTGGCATTTTTAGAGCTTTTTGTCCCAATTCACTTTGCAAGAGTTCCACCACATTTGGGATTTTTCTATTAACAGTTTTCTGGCCGAAGCAGAACTGTTTCTACAAGTTAGCAGGCAAAGCATAATGGTTGTCATTTAATGTGATGGTGATGGCGGCAGCTGCACTTGCCATGTGGAGGAGGAGGAAAGAAGCAAAGCAAATGTTATCACTCCTGGTTGCATATCAGAGACAGCAGTGTAGGAGGAGAATAACGAAGAACTGCTGCTGTTGCTAGGGCACAAAGATATTGGAGGAATACTCATGGTGGTGATTTCTCCTTTTTTCTTGAAGACCAGTGACACATTTTTTGAGTTATAGTTTCATCATCAGCAAAAAGCTTAAAGGACTTTAATCTGGGTTTTCCTGAACTCTTTCTTCATCAGAATCCCAGTTTCAAAATATCCCAGTACATGAGGTCTTAAACAGCACCAGGGTCTTAAACACACTATACTATAAATCAAAGTCATAAATCAGAGGGAGTGTATTCTCTAATCTCCTCTGGTTTTGGAAAAACTATTAGCAAGTCGAAAAAGAGGGAAATATTTTATCACCAAGTGTATTAACTAGACTGGGGATAGTGATGCTCATGAGAGGAAATGAGCAATACTCTACACAGAGAAAAGCAGAAAAAATAAAATTGTACTAAATATGAAGTCACTGGGGAGGGAAAATGTTCAAAAATATTATTTTCTTTTTAAATAAAATGGTTATAATGTTGGTTGTACTATGTTCTCTGGAATATGCAACTGCTTTATTACTAACCTGCCACAGAGTGAAGAGAGTGCCAGGCCAGACTGGATTACTGCCTCCTGAACCCTGCAGATTAAGCACAGAAGAAGCTTCCACAAATCCATGGAAACGAAGATCATATTACCACGTGCTCTTAATTTGAGTTATTTACCTTTGATTATCTTGAATAACAATAAGAAAAGCCCTCCACTGAACACTGTACCTTGTGATTTCACAGCCAGCACTCCACATACCCATTTTGTAACTACAGTGGCCATTTGCAAGCAAACATTCAGGTGCTCGGTACCAGCGTGGGGAAGCACATCCCATATGTGCCTGCTGAGAACAGATACTCCTACAAGATCCAAAATCTCCCAACTTCAAGGTATTCTGCTGCAAAAATCAGTAGTGAATTTCAACAGACAGTGAAATATTCAATCAAATAATTTTCCTTAAACGTCATCATAAAAGAAATGACAGATTACTTTAAGAAGAAACTTTCCAAAATACCAGGGGTATCATAGCAGTAAAACTGCATTTAAATAGCAAGTAGCTCCAGGCTTGAAGGTAATCTCTGTCCCATAGTATGTGCATATAGCATTCTGTACATCATTAAAAGAAAGACCTAAGAGTTAATTGAAGAGCATATGGACTATTACTGAAGGGAAGGCTGCTAAATAGGACATCTGGATTAAGTTATTAGAGTTCTTCTGTTTAGCAGTGATAGAATAGGTGGCTTTGGCTTCTCCTGTACACTTCTGTGACTTAAAAGAAAAATGTACCTCCAGAAAATAAAGTTTTATTAACTGAATTTAAAAAGCCTTGCTTTTCAAACATTAGCAGAATAACCTTCTGAAACTGTCAGGAGAAATCATTCCAAAGAAAAAATCTGAAAGCCAATGTCTCCTCGCTTCTGTGTAACTTCCACTAAATGTAGGAATTGAATGTAGAAAGAAAGAGCTGCAGAACTGAGCCCTACTACTTGTGTCTAGGTTAACACAGAAAGGAAAATATATATTAATAGAGGATAAAGAACAGGTTTTTAGATTGGAGGGAACACATGCAGGCTGTAATACACCTGAGTTATTTCAGGTTTTAGCCAGTAACAAGCTTGCTGGTTCATTCCCCTAGATCAGGAATACAGTATTAGAGGTAACTGTGTATATATATTTTTTAAAACTGCATCTTTATTCATGTAGAAACATTACCCTCTCAGAGTTAAGTATCCTCAAATGAAATTAATTACCTTTATTATTTTTTCTGATTTCACATCTCTCTGAAATATTCTATTTCGATACTAATATAAACACACCACAGAGAAGAATTCTGTAAAACTGAATGTGCTGTAAAGTTATTGCTGAACCAGGTCTCTTACCTATGTGTGCAATTGAGATTTGCATAACTGGTGCATGTTGTTCCTAACTTTTTTTCAGGCAATGGCTTTCTCCCTCCTAGAATAAAATTTCAAGTTGTATAAGTCCTTTTTAGTAAAGAACAGAATACAAATACCTTACTCTTTGGCTGCACCAGAGGCACTGATATCACCTTTTCTGATTATACTATTTCTGTCATTTATAGCTAGCTTTGTAATCCATTTTCCACTCAAGTTCAGACATAATTTAGATTTCAGTGTGCACCAGAATAGCTCAACTAACAACTGTCAATTCAAGACTCTGTAAGCTGCCTTAGTTTTTGCTGCATGTATCTATTGCAATATCTGTTCCCCCAAGTTCCACCAGAACTGCAATATTTCACTTCTGAACACCTAATTTCCTCTCTACACAAAGTAATTGTCCTTAAGGTTCAAGATTCATATCAATCACCTCAAGTTACCGCAGTGCTTAAATGACTGTGATTCACATTTGAATTGCAAACTAAAGGTTAACCCGTGTAGTTTAGTTTGCTGTTGCTGTTAGGCAATAATTACACTTATAAAATTTATCTATTTTTCAGAGCCATTCAGTAACTGCTCAGCTTTTTTCTTTTATAGGCTCCAAAGGCCTTTTAATCTTGCTGTAATGCCTTTATGTAACGCTGCAATGCCATCAAGGGAGGCAGAAATGATCACATTTTTGAAAAACAAAGCAGGTACTGATCTGCCTGATGACAGTAGTATGAGTAATTGGCTGGGGAGGAGGAGGGAGATTATCAGGACAGTAACTCATTGAGGCCACCAGTCCTAGCAGCCAGCGGGACTTGTGTTCCCAACTGATTACAGGGCTCCTCCAGGCAGCCACATAATCCACTGAGCAGGATTAGATCACAAAGCACTTGGAACACAGTACCATTTACATTGGGAATTGTAGTGGTAGTGCCCCCATGGAGATAAATGGTGCTTTCAACGTCAGGATTTTTGTCATTTGTAATAGAAAAGATTTTACAAAATGCTGCTACTCAAATCAACTGGGATTATTATTAGTATTTAAGAAATCAGGCCTTCATAAAAAGAAGTCATGCTCAATTGCTTTTTCATTAGAGGTCAGTAGTAAAATCTGGAGCAGATGCTCCTCTGCTTCCAGATTTATCATTAGAGAAACCTTATTTGGCAGTAATGGTGAAGTGAATCCTAAGGCAGTGGCACCTGTGGCTTCTATCATTTCACTTGAGGCATCCCCCACACCTCTCTCTGAGACATACTTTTTACATTGCTTCAAATGACCAAACTGCTCTTGATTAAACAAAGGGCAAGACTGTTTTTCAGTTATTAAATGACTTGTGATTCCACTATAAATTAACAGCAAGAGAATTACGACTTTGTGTAAAGACAAATAGCCTTGTCTTCATTGAAGTAACATGGATCTCTTGGTTTATTAAGGAAAATTCAAAAGTATCAACTTTCCACATGAGTAGCATTACAGTGACCTGTTCTCCTAATTACTCAAATGTCTCCATACACCTTATTAAATTAAAAATTACTTTTCAATCAACCCCTGCTTCAAGTTTTTCTTCATTACAAAATATTGTACAAATCATGCTTGCCTCTAAATCTTTCTAATGTAAAGATTTTTTTAATTGCTCTGCACCTACATTAAACTTGATTTTGCAAGACAGAGCAGTCAGGAAATGACAGGTACTCACATTATTATACACTGTAGAAATTTATAAAAGACTACAAATCCTCTGAAATGTAACTACTTTTGTACCCTCTGCAAATGGTTTTGTGACAGAGCATTGCTAATGAACAATTTAATTGTTCTACAAATTAGTGATGCACTCTTTCAAATCACACTGCTGAAAATTCCAAAGGAGCTCCTACTTGCCTTTGTTGTGTAGAGATGCTCAGTCAGTGAGGCTGAGACATAAGATTTCTGGCTCAGAAATAAGATTATTTTCCCAGATTAATAACGTACCTGGACCCTTTGCTGTATTTATTTTTGTTAGATTTCCTGACTTTGCAACAAGCCACAACTAGAGCTGTCTGGGGAGAAAACAAAAAACTATTTCTACCCCATAGGAAATTGTGGGAAAATTGTGGAAATTTACTTTTAAGCTCCAAAATTAATGTCTTAAAAATGCACTATGCCTCAGACAGATTAAATGCTTGCATACTTCAGAATATCAAAATACTTTTTTGGGTACTTTTGGGTACTCCATAGGAATCTGTTGTTCATTTTCCTGTTTTATTCTGTGATTTAACAAGCTCCCCACCATGTGTCACCACCTCCTACAACATAAAAAAAAAAGACACTGTATCAGGGGAAACACAGTCCAGACACAAAACCAGATCATAAAGAAATTCAGGTAGACCCAGATTAATGTTCAGATAACCCCTAACTGCAGCATTTCAGATTACTATTGTGCATACATTTCATTTTTAACTGATTCACCGTGCCATAGAAATGGAGGTTATTAAAACTAAGTGGTAGGAAAATAATCTTCTTATGGAAAACTTGACTTTGATAAAAACTGTATTTTAAAATAAAAAAAAAATAACAGAACATACTGAAACTATGATTCTAATTTCCATCTGAATACAATGCTTGATATAGCAGGTTTTCACATGAAAAGGAGAGAAACACTAAGAAATGTAACCAAATGAATGTGAATACTCTGTCGTGTAAAAAAAAAAAAAAAAGGGCAGTTAAAGAACAAACTTAAACATTCTGAAGTACAGCATCTTTCCTGGAAGGGGAAGATGCAGGATTGTTTTTAATACATATGCAATTACTCTGACCTCTCAGCTTAACAAATCTATCCTGTAAAAACAAAATGTCTAATTAAAACCAGCAAACACTAATGTCTCCTTTGGTCATCAGCAAACAACTGTATTCTAATCTCACATTCTTATGTAGGTCAGTAAGGGAGTTACTCCTTTTGTTAGAGATCTGAATGCTCAGTGTCACCAATGTCATGTTCGGGAGCGAGTCTTTATTCTCTTGCACTGAATGACAGTTGCATGCTCAGTTATTTAAAATAATCTCCCAGTTGTTAAGACATTACAAATTCTTAATTATTCATTTTAAAAAATCCTCTTCTGATAATGAATTGTAAGTACATGCCCCTTCATTTGCTGTATCTATCTCCATTAGTGTTTATACAAGATTTGGTTTTAAATCAGATTTTGTTCCAAACTTTTTTGTAGGAACTCTTCCTTAAGCTTCGTGGTCTCTGATCTGCTTCCACAAACAGCTCCAGAATTATTAAATAATGGTGGTTTCAGGGAACAATGTTATTTTATAAAGAAAACTTGGTAAAAGCCATTTTTACTAGATATAAAAACTGAAAATAATTTTCATTGGTTCAATAGTTTTAAAACAAATGGGAATAATTTTCTTATTACTTCACTGCCGTCCTGCTCTAACAAATCACAGAACCACAGAATATGCCAAGTTGGAAGAGACCCACAAAAACCTGTTGAAGTTTTATTTTTTGTTACATAAAGCAATTATTTTCTCTTTTGCAGTCAAGGTTGTTTGACTGTAGAAGAGATGGCCATGGACCTGATGAGAAACCTGCATTCATGCCTTAAACAAGTGGGTATATTCTATTGGCAAGAGCTAAAGGGAGAAGCAGTACAGCACAAAATTTCCTTATGAGTTTTATAATCTGTAACAGTGAACAACCAAGTGAAACATAATTAATTCCACTTTGTGATCTACACAAGGAGAATTTGTGTGCTTCTTAAGCGTATGCTACATACCTTCTGTCAGCTCACAGATACCCATGCCCATAAATTCACAGAGCCAGCGTTTCCATCACTGCAGAAACAAATAAGGAGACTTTAACCTGGAAATAAAACTTACATGTTGATTTATACACAGCATAGAAAAAAGTACTTCGTTTAACCAGTATTAAAATGGACATTTTCATTTTTAATTGATACTGTCTCATAGAGGTTTTTAAACTTAAGTCTGAGGTATCATAGTTTCAGTTTATACTATCCAAAGTGTCCACTGCAGAAGTTAACTGATTTACTCAATAAAGATGTCTTCTGGGCATATCACCCTGTTCAGGAACAAGAAATTTCCAGTAAATTAACTGATACAGTCTTACAATAAAAGGCAGGAAAGCCATTACAGCCAATACGTGAAGATACTTTCTAGTTAGATCACCAGTAGTGTTCTATTGCATGGAAATGAGTATCTGACTGGAGTCACCGTTTTGCTGACAACACCAATTTTAAATATAATCATGATATATCTGACACTTTATTTTCCATTTCACTGCCCTGCAGAGGCAGACAGCTTTAGGTCTTCAGTTTTCCCTGTAAGATAATTGCATTACAGCACATCTGCCCTGCAATGCTGTGTTAACCCAGGCAGTAAAAGGTGGGGGTACAGTCTGCAGTTCAGCTCAGACAGACAGCAGGAGCTCTGTGAGCTGGCTGGCCAGCTGGGTCGCACTTGGGTAACAACACGGCAGCTGAGGCTGAGAGTTCCAGAAAGCCAAGCTGCTGACACCATTACCGGCTTCCCATGTGTTTGCAGGAAACAGGTCTGTCATTAACAGTGTAGCACCCGAGTCTGGAGCAGAGGAATTAGAGAGCCTGAAGGGCAATATAACATATTTTAGAGCAGTTGACAAGTTTTGTGTCAAGTATTTGAATAATGAAGGCTATGTCTGCTGATGCACAGCGATGGAGAGCAAATGCTGTCATAAGACGTGACCGCTCTGTGAGACAGAACATGTCCCCAGAAGACACTGAAGTGCCTAATGAGGATAAGTAACCCAACTTCATCACTGACTGATCTCTTTCCAAATGCACAGCTCAGCTGCTGCCTCATTCTGAGATTTAAACTTTTACTACTTGCAGAGGGGTGTCTGTAAAGTTACCTGTGAAATGACAACTGCCAAATAGTTTGCCTTGATCCCTAGTTCAACCTGACCAGTCAAACCAAGATCCTTGACCTACCGGAGCCTAATCCAGCAGATAAACTCTGAGTGTGCCTAACCAACATACTGTGCCAGGAGCCATGATGTCCAGTGAAAGCACTAAACTGGATATGGAACATGAATTGAAATTATCAGCAAGTAGTACATATTATGAGGTGAAATTTAACTATGTTTAACATATATTTAGTCTGTAATTTTAATACTGATGTTGAAATATTTTTGGTCTGCTGCAAAAGAGACAGAGAAAGTGAGAGCTACACCAGACTTCCTTAACCAAGGCAGGAACTTCAGAATTTGAGAAATGTTTTGGGTTTTATTTTCTGTTGAAATAAAAAGCTGGTTAAGTGTCTACAGGTTGTCTCTGGACCCAAAAGTTGCTGGATATTGTTCAAATAAAGGAATAAGGAAGAAAGAAATGAATGCATCATACTTACAAAACAACTTCATGTAAGCATGGAGATAGTAGGATGTGGACTCAGCTTCCTTAGTGCTTGTATTTATCTCAGAATATTCCCTTGTTTCATATTGAAGTTGAATTGAAAAGACTGACTTGGAGTCTGGGACTGGATTATAATTGTCTTGGTTCCTTGCCATGAGACTGTCAGAACCTACTCCACTCTAGTCTGTCACTGAACTTTCAAATGCAGGACCAGACACATGGTTTCCCTGCTGTTTACTGAGCAAATCAGTAATCAGTAAATGGTTTTAATCCTTCTTGCAGTCTGGAGTAGCTGGACTTACCCAAACAAGAGAAGTAGTAACTTATTGTGCTCCAACAGCAGTTACCATGCCAAGGAGCTACCTGGCAGGAATTTTGTGTTGCATAATAGTATGTGTGATACTATTTCCTCTGTGCTGGTGCAGCATACATTCCAAACATTGCTCAGCATGATGCCTTGCCAAATTTAACATTTAAAATTAACCTCTTACATGAAAAATAGACACTATTCAACTACTGTGTAATTATTTTTTCGCCCTCTTAGACTTCAATAAACAAACAAAAAAAACCACGCTACAGAAGCTCTGTGGAGGAAGCAGGAAATAAAGAGCTTTGCACACAGTTGAATGGAACAGAGCAGGACACATTGGCCTTTGCACAGTCAGACTTAAAGAGAAACACCAAAACAAAATTTTCCACTTTGAAGTGAGGAGAAATATCTTTTATGGGCAGGTTCAGCTTAAAACACTGTTATGTTTGCTAAAAGAGTTCACTTCATCAAAAGAATCTGTCAATTTATCAAAGGGCTAAAGGCCTAAAAGATGTTTTAGACAGCTACATGAAAGTCTGCTTGTTGAGCCCTACAGCGAAGTTGTCTGCCCTTGATAAAGTTAAGGAGATAGTTTAAATACTGTTTTGATAATAAATTGGACAATTCTGTCAGTTGTAGGTAACAAATAAATGGACCAACAGATCTCTAACAACACAACAAAGAATCAGATGCCACATTACTTGAAGATATTTGAGTCCTCTTCTTTTTTTTTTTTTTAACCTACAATCTTTGAGATCTGAGTTACATTGTGAAATCTCACCTAAGAGCAAAATGTCCCATTTAGCTTTGTACAAATGAGTCACTCTCAGTGATTTCACTAGGAACTCACTATATTTAACTGAGAATACAAAGTCAATAACCCAAGAGGCACTGGTTGGCACTTACATCCTTGGAGGAGAATGTCAAATCTATGTCTACACACAGCCCTCTCCTCTATTTTCCTAACTGATAAAAAGCACCTATTTTGTGACCATATAACATCTGGCTGATGGATGTAATTAAATATAAATGCAAATATGAAGCAGAACTAATGCTATACATGGACTAAGCATGAATAACTTCATTAAAACAGTATTTAAAGTAAGACTGAAAAAAGCATTCTCCAGGGAGAGGACTGACACATTTCCTCCTCCGATTATTATTTACAGTTAAAAGAAAAACAGCACAAGTCCATTCAGTGCATTTGGCAAGGCAGAAATCAACTATTTAGTCCTCATTCATCTTGTTTTACCCTCGACCCAGTGGTCAAGCAGCACTTAATACAGTGGATGACATCAATTGGACTACTCAAGGAAATAACCCCCCAGTGCCAAATGGGAAGGCCCTGCCTCATCAGCAGCAGAGCTCCCTTTCTGTACCACATGCAAACCTTTTTAAACCATGGCATTCAAAAAACTTCACTTAGTCTTAATTTTGTATTTTCCCACCGAATTTAAGTAAGATTTCCGGAGAATTTCTATGATTAATTATGCATTCCTTTCAAAATGCTGCTTCATGTGTTTACATGCATAGCACTTTCCATTTCTAAGATTCAGTGTCTGCAGGACATCAGAAAATGCTCCCTCTCCTATCTTACCAAGTGGTATTCTAAAAACAAAAATACACTCTTTCAGTATGTTTGAAATTGTTATTATGACTGTATAACAATTCTTCATTGATTTGCTAAATGCTGACTAATGGAAAACTTAAAAGTGGCTTTTTTTTTTTTTTTTTTGTGAACACATAAGTTATTTGAGAGAAAATATAATGACAAAAAGAAAATGAAGTTTTGCTGCCCATATTACAGGAATCTATTCTCCTGAAAGTAAAATACAGTAATTCTTAGTCAATGAACTACCACCTTCTTGCTCAGAGACATGATTCTGCTGCAGGCAGCCCTTCCTACCTTTTTTCTGCTGCAGCACATTAGCTGAATTTATTCTTTGCTTCTCTCACAAAAAACCCCACCAAAATCTCCAAACCTTTATTTAGACTGTACTGAAAACAAAAAATTACTTTGGAAAGCAACTGTATCATGGAATCATTGTCCTAAAATGGGGGTTATTTGTTGGGGATTTTTTTGGGGGATGTTGTTTGGTTTTGATTTTGCCTTTTTTTTTTTAAGCAAAGCAGTTTCTGACTTTAAAGCTTTATTTTCATATTAAATTCAGATATGAATTTTGCACTAAAATAATGCTTGCCTTTGACAATGAAGTGCTCCAAACACAAGGATGTGAAAACTCAGTCAATTCTAATTCTGCAGAAGAAGATGAAGCAGGTAACGTAAGAGTTATGAAGAAAGCTTTATTCATATTAATTTTTCAGTCTTCTAATTTTTATCAGAATTGACATTTCTTTTCTTTCCTCCTTTATTCTCCTTCAGCTTTGTGATTAACTGTTCCTTACCAATCCCAGTGCCTGGTTACCTTCACCCACTTCATCCTCCTATTTCCTTTTATTTTTAGCATCTGTAGATTCTATCCTTGATAATTTTTTCAGTAATTTCATCTGAGCAAAACCTAATTCTGGTTAGCTTTATGCTACTGTTGCTTTTGACATGGTCTTTATTATTTAAGAAAGATCCAAACCCAGTCATTTTGAGGGAGGCAGGGCAGGAAACTTCTTTTATCATGTTCAGCCCTGTATGGGTGTCAGAATAACTGTGGGAGTCTCAAGCTCTGTTGACAGCAGTACATTCAGTGGAGCTGCCTGCATTAGTTACTGTGACAACAGTCCCTGACAGGGACTTGTCCTGTGAGAACCAACCCTCTGTGAGGCACCTTCCTTGCCTGGTGTGAGGGCTCCTTCTAAGGTCAGTTCTCAAGCAGCTTCTGTCCTACTGCCTTGTTTTGGAAGATCAGAGAATTTGCTAGTAGAGATGGGGGCCATTTCGTGCCAGTTGCTCTTTGTGTCCAAGATTTCCAGATATGTTTAATTTACAAGTATAAACACAGCCTCACAGTAGAGAAAGCCTGCCAAGAAATTTTTCAGAGGGAAAAGTTACTTAGGCAGGGACATTCTAACACTGTCTTCCAACTAACAATCATTTCGTGTTGTCTTCATCTCTTTTCTCTTCCTCAACTTTCACACTTAGTCCTGTTGAAGAAAAAAACCCTCAGCAAAACAATAAAAAAGTGTTTTGTTTTCTTATGAGCCAAATGCTTGTATTTTAATTTAGTAGAAACCTTCCCCTTGTAAACATTCCCTCTTTCTCCAATACAGTAGCAGCACTCCTGTGAAATTGCTGGTCGCTCTTCTCTCTTTTATCATCTGCTGCTTTGGTTTTCTGATCACTGCCCATCCTGCTGCATCATAAACTAACTAACTAGGCCATCTAAGTCTGAAAAATTGGAAAATGCAGTGCAGTTTAAAATCACTCACACCTTCTAATACACTCTATACTGACCATGTACATGCAGAACTATTTTAAAAGCAGAAACAGAATTTGAAAATCATTATGGGTAATGGAGGCAATTTCTAACAGAGGCTCCAAAATAGAGAGGGCACCATGAGACTGTTTAATTCCTGTGGTTGTTATTTGATAACTGGACTGAGAAAATAACACACTTTGTCAGCAGAAATCACACATTGCACCGTGTTTTCCACCCTCACCTTTCTCTCAAAGAGAAAGTGTCAATGGATTTTTTTGGTAGCAACTTATACTCTCCAATCAGTTAGAAATACAATGACTACACTTGATCATATCATGTCAGAGCCACCCCTGTGACAAAAAGTACCCAAGGTAGACACAAAGCAACTTAACTATTTGTTGACCTATGCTTTTATTCTAATAAATGGCAATCCCATATTTTTCTTTTCTCAAATGCAAGTAATTGATTCTCTGGCATTAAAAGAAAAGTCATACAATCTGAAAATAAGATCTTAATATCTATGACATACCAGCCATAGTGTTAATGAACCAAAGTAGTTAGGCAGGGAAAGCATTATTGTGCAAATTTCTTGAAAATATCTTCAGATATATAAAGAAGTCAAATAGTATATGTTAATATAATTTGGTTTTCTTTGTATTTTCTTCTATATATGTATTTTATTCCTATGAGAGAAGTCCAGATGACGGGAGGGCTCAAAACAGTCTGATGTCTTTTAATTTTAAATTGAAGAGTTCTAACAGTGCAAGAAGAGCTAATCCTTTACACACGTTAAAACATTCTTACAGCACTTAAGGTGTTTTTCATGTAAGCATATAAAGCTTATTATAAAAATTTTTTACAACAGAGCACTCTGTAGACAAAATAAACACCCCACACATAACAAACCGAGCCTTCAACTTAAAAGAGAGCCACCCAGCGAAAAGACAGCAAAGACCTGAATACTTTCAGTTAATTTAAAAAAAATGCAGAAACAGGAATGAAAATTGTGTTATTTGAAATGTCTCTTTGAAGCATAAAATCAACATGTAAGCTCTGAACAATCAGCAGCTGAAAGAAAGTCAGGTATTTTAAAAATAACAGCGTAGTAGTTTATATACAATAAGATTAAATAAAATTTAGACTAACAATTTATTATAAAGTTTGATTTTGCATCCACAAGCCAAAGTTTCTGGAGGTTCCTAAAAATCCACTTCAGCACCATCCTGATCCTTTGAGAGTGATCAGGCAGCAACAAAACCCCACCAAAACAACAGACTTGTATTTTAATTTAGTAGAAACCCTGAACAAGAACAGCCAGGTCGCAGCCCAGCAATTGTAAGCTATGAAACTCAGTACAGCTACAACCCAAAACTCATTATCAGTTAGATTACCTGAATTTATGGTACTCAGAGATGAAGATGGGCAGAAAGGTTAAAAATTTTAAGACTGAAGGCTTCTAGGATGAAAACAAAGGAAGTGTTTTAATTACACTTGCACAGAACATTGAATAAAGGAGACCTAATCACCAGTTAGCAGTTCTTTCATGTCATCTGTAACAGATAATATCTAACCTCTCCCTTCCCTCCCTTCTGTTTCAGCACACACAGATGCTCAGGCTTGGAATCGTTAGTGGAAAGGGAAATAAAGGTTAGGAAGAACAAGTCGTAGCAATGTGAACTCATCTAACACCAAAAAAGTGGCCATGAATCATTCAACAAAATAACAGTTTTATGTCCAAGAGGCTACAGGAAAACCTAGGAAAAAAGGAACAGTCTAAACTAACGTTATGGGCAAGTGATGGAATTCAAAGACAACACCACTGTAACTAGACAGCATGAAAGATTAATCATCATTTGGAATTAAAAAATCCAATACAAAATGACAGAAAAGACAGCACTACAACAGTCAAAACAGGCTATTATAAAAATCTAAAGCAGACACTTTGTTACAAAGATGCCAACATGCCGAGGAAGAAAAAGCTATGATGTTTAAGTATGACACTGATGCACCTGGGAAGGGAGAAGCAGCCAAAGAAATGAAGAAAGCTGATGAAGTTGAACTCTAGTCACAGCGGTAAGGCCATGGCACGTAATTATTGCACTCAGAGACACGCCAGATGCACAGGGTGTGACACGGGATGATGTGGAGAAGGATGCTAACCGATGGAAGGAAAGGCGTGCAGAACAAGGAAAACTTAGCAATTCCTGAGAAAGCACTTAGAGAGACCAGCAGACAGGGAGATGCTCCACAGCAGCGGGACTAAGATCTATTCGCACCCTGCCGTGGGACGCAGAGGGACCAGCCTTGGCAACGGAGATGCAGGCGCTGCCCACGGGCCGTGGGGACGGCGTTCCCAGGGGTCACAGGAACACCCACGGCCCCCTCAGCGCGGCTGCTCCCGGGGCTGCGGCCCCCCTCGGTGACCACCAACACACCCCACCCCCACCCCCCCCCAGAGGCGCTGGGCCCGCGGCTTTCCCCCGCGCCCCCTTACTGCGCATCCCGCGCCGTCCCGCAGGTCCCGGGCCGGCCGGGCGAGCGGCCACCCCCGCCCCGGCCCCGCCGCCGGCGCTGCCCCTCAGGCCGCCATGTTGTGTTCCCGTCGCCCCGGCAACCGCGCACGCGCCAGCCCCGCGCCCCGGACCGCTGCACACGGCACGCCGGGGGTGCGCACGCGCAGTGCCCTCCCCTTTGCCCCGCCCGTGCCCGCCGGGTGAGGGGTGTCCTGGAGGATTTGTGCGTGACTTGGTTTGTTTTAAGGGAAAGGGGACACGTTCCCAAAGCGAGCGGGTTGTGTGGATCAGAGCCACCAGGACTGAGCAGTAACCGGGGGGAAAGGTAATTCCAGCAGTGCGAGGTCGCAACCCGTTGACCACGTACTCAAAACGGACGCCAGATTCGAGTGGAAAGAACTGCGCCTGCCGAGTGATTAGCACGAGAAGCGGGATTTAACCGGCGAATAAGAGTTTGAGCACTCATTAATTGAGAAAATGTGTAATTTGTAACCAGTGAATGCCGATGCCTTTGTGTGTTAAAATGTATAACTAGTGTAAAGTGTAAAGTTTTGATGATCAGTGAGCTAGACTTTTGTGGGTTACCACCTCAGCCCCTTACTTCGCGCAAACTAGAATAAAAAAAAAAAAACCAAACCCCTCGCCTCGGTATGTCAGTTGTTGCTGCGTTGTGCGTGAATGAGCCGCGTTCGGGACACCAGCACGGGGCGGAATTCCCGGGGACAGCGAGGGTTTTAGGGAGGGCAGCCCTGGGCCCATGGGATTAATACTCCTTAAATCCAGCGGCCGGCCCTGGCTGCAGTGGCCCGAGCAGCGCCTGGCGCTCAGGTTCATCCCCGGTGATGGGCTGATCCCTGGCGGATCCCGCGCGCCACTGCGATGCGGGGATGTGCCGAGATGGGATGGGATGGGGTGGGAGTAGCAGCGTGGAGAGGAGCTCGGAGAGAGACCACGATCCGAGCTATAGTGAACCAGCCTCCACAAAAAAAATCTGCATTTTGGAGCGGTGTGTCGTCGCCCTCCCCCCATTGTTCTCACCCCCTCGGTGTTTGCCTCTTGCTAAAACAGATATCGTGTGTTTTAACGTAGATTTCAAAGCTGAGCAGAAAAGTCATGTTGTAAATGCTGCATGCGTAGTAAAAATCAAAATACTGGGAAAAGGTAAATCGTTTGTCCGTGCAAACCCGGATCCTAACAGTGCGTTAAACTTCAGAAGAGTAAATGCTTTTTTTTTAAGAAAAAAAGTTCAGATATTTTAATTAAATGAAACTGGAATCATATCCTAGAAAACGTAGAAAAGTATTAGTCTGTAGACTTAGAGGCGAAGTTGCCCCATGATCGCGTGTTATGCTTATTAGCTCCCAGGCGCTGCATCGCCACAGGAATAACAGAGTACTCTGTGGTTTGGCTGAAGAGTTCAGCGTGTGTTCCCGCCTGCGCGGGCCCGGCTCGGGCTCCTGGGGGCGAGGAGGTTCCTCGCCTCGGCTGTTACCGTCACTGTTCGCGCCACAATGGGGGCAGTAGGGTGGGCATACCCTTATGTGCTGCAGAGGCGGCCGCTGCTGTCAGGTGGCCGGTTAGCTCAGTTGGTTAGAGCGTGGTGCTAATAACGCCAAGGTCGCGGGTTCGATCCCCGTACGGGCCAACGAACACTTTTTTTTCCCCGTTTCTCTCCGGTCTATACCAGTAACTCCCTCCCATCCGCCGCACACGTTTCTCCTGAGACGCGCGGTGTGACCTCTACACAAGGGCACGGCCGCGGGCGGGGTGTGTGTGTCGGTCGAGCACCCGGGGCGGGTGGAGCCCGGCCGGCACGGGCACAGCGCACATTTCTGTGGCTGCGCGGGCGGCTGCGGCGTGCTCGGGTCACTCTTTCGGGCGCGTTTCCTACCGTGCGGGTTCCACTTCACGCACCCCCCGCCACCTGGTCGCTGGTCTTGCTCCCGAAACCCCGCTCCGTGAAAGCGAGTGGCGCCGCACAGAATTACTGAATGGGTCAGGTTGGAAGGGACCACAGTGGGAGACCTGGTCCCACCTCTCTGCTCAAGCAGAGTTATTCTGCAAGTGGCGCAGGATTGCGTCCAGATCGTTCTTGAATATCTTCCAGGGAGGGAGATTCCACACCCTCTCTGGTCAACCTGTTCCAGTGTTTGGTCACTGCACAGTAAGTTCTTTCTCGTGTTCAGGTGGAACTTCCTGTGCATCAGATTCTACCCCGCTGCCTCTTGTCCTATTGCTCGGCACCACCGGGCAGAGCCTGTCTCCATCCTCTTGGCACCCTCCCCTTTAGATATTTATACACATTAATGAGGTCCCCTTTCAGTCGCCTCTTCTCGAGGCTGAACAAGCCCAGCTCCCTCAGCCTCTTCTTCTAACAGAGATGCTCCAGTCTCCCAGTTGTCCCCGCTGCCGCCTACTGGACCCGCTCCAGGAGCTCCACGTCCCTCCTGTACCGACGCTCGGTACAGCCCACACCTGCAGCGCGGGGAAGCGCAACTGGCGCTGGCTCCGCCCGCGGAGTCCCACCTCCGGAGCCGGGCGCTGCGGGCGCTCCTCCGCCGGTTTTTGCCCGCCCGAGCCGCCGTCGGTTGCGGGCGGCCCCGCCCCGGGGGGCGCGGCGGGCTCTGCCGAGGGTGCCATTGGCCCGGTCGGCCCCGCCGCCGGTGCCACCGACACCGCCCGGGGCCGCGGATGCGGCGCCAGCCCGCCCGCGCCTGCCAAGATGGCGGCTCCCGGGGCGGGGGGCGCCGGGGCGCCTCCGCCGCCGCTCCCTGAGGACGAGCCCCCCGGGCCCCGCGGGGCTGCCCCCGGCGCGGCGGCGGGGCGGGAGGAGCTGCTGGCGGTGACGGAGGAGCTGGTGCAGAGCCTGTCCGCCCTGGAGGGCGGCGCGGCGGGGAGCGGCGCCGTGTTGTACCTGCGGGCGGACGGCAGCGCGGCGGAGGGCGCGGGGCTGCTGGAGCGGCTGCTGGAGAGCCCCGGGCCGCCCCCGCCGGCCCGGCCCGCCGCCGCGCCGCTGGCCCCCGCCGAGCTCCGGCGGGTCATCGAGCAAGTGAGCAAGGCCCAGGAGCAGCAGAAGCCGCCGGCGACCGCCGCCGCCCCCCCTTCGCAGCCGTGCCCGGCGGGCGGCATCATGCAGAACGCCGCTCGGCAGCTGCAGAGCGTGGCCCAGCAGGTCGCCCTGCAGCAGGGCAGGGCCGCGGCGGCCGCACGGCTCCTCCCGCAGAAGGTAACCCAGGGGCTGGGCGGGGAGGGAAAGAGGGAGCCTGCGGTACCCGCTCGGTGGTGAAATCCAAGGCGGGTTTAATCGCTTTTTTTTTTTTTTTTTTTTTTGCCTTCCTCTTCAGTTGCACCTGCCCTCGGGTGCCACAGCTCAAAGACACAGCCTTCAGCGTACTTTAGGAAAATGTGTGTTCGAACGTAGCAAATAGCTGCTGTGGTCAGTGTTTCTGTCTGACAACGTGCAGTGAAAACCGCTTTGAAGGAATGTTTCACAGCAGTGCTGTACAGGCAGATAATGTGTGCCCCTCTTACAAGAAGGTGACAGTACCTCTGCTTTCAGACCACATTTTGGGGAGCAGGGGTTGTCAAGTAATTGATTTGAGCTGAGGCAGAACTTTGGATGAGGAGGAGAGACTGTGAGGGAGATGAACAGTAACATGTCCCTTCTCTGAAGCATCACCACAAGTTTTTTTTGAAGTGAGCACATATTACAGTACGTTCTGCACCAGGTATTTGGCTTGTGTCACATAGCAGACATGTAGTAGCTCTGCTGCGTGTGGAGTTTGCTGAAGGTTATGAATGTGCCTTGGTGATGGTGTTGACTCTGCTATTCCAGATAGGCCTGATAGCAGGAAACAAAGCTGTGACTTGGCCTCAGAGCAAACTTTACATGCTTTAGTAGAACAGCAGTCACAGCAGTAAATGTGCAGGAAAACCCATAGCTGGAAGGAAGGGAATTTATGCTTTGATGTTAAATCTGTGCTTTGATGCATTAAAATGGAAAACTAATGATGTGCAGTGGTTTCTTCATGCTTTTCTTTAGAGGCATGTGTGTATTATCTTGATAAGGACTGTATTTAGTAATACTGTATTTGTGTAATTGCAACTCTTCCTTTTTTCCACAAAAGCAGCTGGAAGCCATTTGTGTCCAAGTTCAGCCAGGACAGATGAAGGAAACTGAAAGGCCAATGACATCCTTGGCACCGATCCAGTCCACAACTATAACGCTGAGTCAGCCGGTTGGTAGGAATTCTAGCATGCCAGGACTTGGCATTATTAATCCCCAGATAATTAGGATACAGCCTGTTTCAGGAGCTGAGCAGCAGCAGCAGCTATTCCTGCATAGTTCTTCCGAGTCTCCAGTTCAGTTGCTTATGCAGAGACCTTTACCATCTCACGGATCAGTGTCTGTGAACAAGATTCCCACATCGAAGATGGTAAACGGACAGAAAGCTACTCGTGCCGCAGCGTCGGCTTCAAGGTCTCCAAACACTACCGTGGTTGCAGCCAGTACACCATGCCTTGAAAAAAAGCAAAAGGATGACAAGTTAAAAAAATCCTTGAAGGTGAAAACTCGTTCTGGACGTATTTCACGCCCCCCCAAATACAAAGCTAAAGACTATAAATTCATTAAAATGGAGGATTTGGCTGATGGTCATCAGTCTGATTCTGATGACTACTCTGAGCTGAGTATAGAAGATGATGAAGAAGGAAAGGTGAAGGGAAAGGATGCATTATTCAGTTCTTCAAATTATAATCTGAAGCCCAAAAGGTTTAAATGTCAGACTTGTGAAAAATCTTATATAGGAAAAGGAGGATTAGCAAGACATTATAAACTTAACCCGGGCCATGGACAGCTGGAGTCTTCACCTCAAAAAATACCTCTAAATAAGCCTAATGGAAGTATATTTGTGGACAATGCCTATGGAATAAGAGAGGAAAGGATAAGCCCAGCACATTTGGACTCAATTGCTGTCACTTTAAATCATCAAAATGCACTAGCTACCAATCTGGAAGAAACTGTTGATTCAAAGGCTGGAGAAAAGGTAAAGTGTTACTTGGAAAAGCTGTCAGTTCTGTGAGAGGTAGAATGGCAGTTCTGCAGCTGTATAGTCTTACTCTGCTCAGAAATACCCTCTGATATACTACATTAAACAAATTTCCCATTGAAGTGCTTTAAAAATCAAATTGTCTCTTGCAGTGTTGCAGGAATAGTACTCTTGCACAGACACCTACAACAATGTTCACTGAGTGTTCATTTGTTACTGCATTTCTGACATACAGTTTTCACCTTGTCTGCATAAATACATTCTTCTCCACATCTGGATAAGAACACTGTTATTCAGTTACAGCCCTTAGCACGACAGCAGGACATCACCTGCTCTATCAATTTCTGTTACTGCAATAGTGTCATCACAAAAATCTCTTTATTTTCCACACAGCAGTGGACTGCAGCTTTTCCTAGAGCAGGTGTTAAAGCATGGCTTTGAAACCCTGTGCACCAAATACTCTGGTGAAACTTGGGTCTCTGGGTTGGAAGCTACTTCAGCTGCAGATTTTTTTCTGTGATGTTTTAAGCTGGTCACTTCAAAGTTTCTGTTTTAATATTTAAATGACTCTTAATGTCCTGCAGCAAGAGCTGATGCAGCTGCTGCGTAGGCAAAAGTACTCATTTAGATGTAGGGGTGTCACATTTATTACTTTTGTTTGTACTTATGAAGTTGTTCTCAGGAAAGCAAACATTTACAGCTTATGTTGCCAGTGCAGCAACCCAGCCTCCCCTCATCCTCTACACTATTCTATCATCTTTGGAAAAAGAGAACTGCAGAATACTGAAATCTGCTTTCTGAATTATTGTAGAGCTGTTACTTCCCTGTACAGCACTTATTTTACCCAGGATGATGGGGATTTAGAAAAGACTTAGTCAGTCTTGTATATTATCCATACTCCTGACTCCTAGACTGCTACTGTACCTGCTGCTTTTAACTAGCAAGTTCTACAAATGTGTTCTACACATTTGCACGTAAACTCATTGATATGTTACAGGTTTTGGCCAAGAGAAAACTTCCTAGAAAGAACAGCAGGATTATTAAAATTGTTACAGTGGTACAGACAGGAAGCCAATCAAGATCCCCGCGCTCAACCTAGTCTGATGTCATATTTAGAACTAATTTAGTAATTTAATCCCTGGATAGAACTGACATAAATTTGCCATTTTTAGAGCTTTCCTAATCAGTAGAATAGTAGGGAGCTACTGAACGCTGAGAGGCAAACACAGATTATGCAAAGAAGCCTGATATACCTCAGTACTATTATAAACTCCTTTCTTCAAAGATACTGGAATATTCTTAGAAATTCTAGCTTGGAAGGAAAGATGCGTTCAGTAAGAAATCACTGCTTTGAACAGTAAAAAAAATTGCCCTGAAATCACAATAACTTAGCAACTCAAAAGTACTTTTTCTATTTTTATGTGGTCTTATAACAGGAGCTGCTTCTTAGCTGTGTTCCTTGGGAAGACTAAGGATTTTGAAATGTGGGAACTGGGATATATATTTTGATATTTAGTTACTGGGCTTGTCAGTATTCATAGTAGAGTTTTTGTCTTTTCTTTTTATGCTTTTTATGCTTTGACATGGTTAGAATGAAACCCAGCTTACTCTTTGGGTATGTTTAACTGCTAAATAAGTTTTATTTCTACAACCTCTTTATTTGAAGATGATATACTTTACTTCAAAAATATTAAATGTGGTTAACTGACTTAAAACAGCAGTTTAATGATATTCCCATAATCTCTGTATTTGGGATGACATTTTGTGGATCAAAAATGCTAACTTTGCAAATAAAAAAATTTGCATTTTTTTAAATGTGCTATGTATTGTTTGCATAGATGACAAAATTATAAAATTGTCTTCCTCAAAATAGTGTTTAAAATGGCAAATAAATACTTTTATCTTTCTCTTAATTAAGACTTCAAAGACTGCAGAAAGCAGACCCTTGCTGGCAGAGCAACAAAATGAAACCAGTTCAGGACACCGGGGACCAGTAACTCCAAAGGGACCTGGAAGGCCCAGACGACCAAAGAGACGTGGTCGACCAAGGATGGGTGGAAGATCCAGGTGTTCTGGAAGGCTTAGCAGACCTGGTCAGTCCCCTTCAAAGTCACTTAGTAGTGTGTCAGCAGAACACAATGTATTCAGAAGAAAAGCTAGGTTAAAAGAGGTATGGTTCTCTTCTGCAATTACTTCACAAGTATCTTCCCCCTGCCCTCTTTTTTTTTCTTTTTTGTTTTAAATCACTTATTTTCAATGAATCATTTTCAAAAAAGCTTTTGTTGAATTTTTTTTTACATCCTTGTGTACTGACAAGATGAAAGCCTAAGATGTCTTCTCAAAAGAAAACATTAAGCTGTCTTTTAAGGAAAAAAATACTTCCAACAGATCAGTGGAAAAAGGGAAAATGGGATCTCAGTCTGGAAAGGGACTTTTGACATGTAGATGTACTCTTGCTATCCTTTTTCTGGAGAAGGAAAGTCACTAGCCACTACTGTGCATCTCTTCCAACACAGTAAAAAACACAAACCCAACTGGAGTTGAACAACATCAAAAAAGAAAAAAAAAAAAACCAAGTCCACAAAGAAGGTCTTGGAGGAGGATAGAATGGGGATTAAAGTCCACACAACTAACACAGATTTGCGCTTTGTTTCCTGTGCGTTGTAGATCCTTTATGGCTACTAAAGCTACTGAAGTTGCTGTTCTTTCTATGAACTGGCGACATCCGTGGGGCTGAGTTTTGTCTGTAGATGAGTAGTAACTGTTCTGAGGTTTTCTAACTCTAGCCCCTGTTTTGGTGTTAGTTTGCATCTATTCTCAAAGCTGCTTAAACACACAGCGTATCTTTCAGAAAGAAGTAGTGATATGTTGTATTCTGCAAATGGGATGCATAACCTGTGGGCTGCTTTTTCCTAACAAACTCGTTCTGGCTTTTGGCAGCTGATACAACAGTGTGATAATGAAGACTTAATGGAGCTGGCTCTCCCACGTCTTTCAAAGCTTGTTACAGTGTATGAATTTCTGTTGATGAAGGTGAGTTTTCATGTAAAAATGTTAAATTACTTTAGGGACACTTTCAGTAATATACATAAAAAGATTCCTTTAGAGACATAATTGAATTTCCTAAGTTGGAACTGCACAGCACGTAGATGTTCCACACATCACTTCAGGCTTACACAGGCAAAACTCTGCTAGGTCTCAACTCAGAGCCTTGCTTTTTGCTGCCTGGTTCAATGGCATTTTGAACATTCCATAATCTTTTGACTTTAATATTTCTGTTTTAAAATGCCGAACAAAACAAGCTTGACAGATTTTAATTTCATCTTTTTAAAAATTTATTCCTCCTCTTATTTCTAGGTTGAAAAAGGATATCCAGCCAAAGCTTACTTTCCAGATGTATATAGGGAATTTGAAGACTTGCATAACATGGTAAAGAAAATGGCTTTTGATCACCTCAGTAATTCTGATTCTGTGAGTTGTCAGCAGCCTGTTGAAATAAAAGATGCTAAGGTAATAAAGCACTCTGTTTGGAACCATGATTTTTTTGTTTGTTAGTTTGTTTGCTTTATTTTAGATGCATTGCATTTTTAATTTTCTCTCATAGGCTTTGTTGTGCTGGTAAATTTATTTGAAGAAAAAAATGATTTTTGATTAGCAAAAACAGACATTATTGTAAAAAGCCCAACAACTTATCAAGAAGAGAAGAATAAACTAGAATTGTAGTTTTATGTCAGTGGATACAACTAGAAATATAAAAAGCAATTCTAGCAGTGCTGATACCCGCCTTGCACATCTAGGGTAGTATGTAGCTGCATGTTACTGAAAGGTGTATTTAGCATTAACTGCTGATAAAAGTACATCCTGGTGTTAGATAAGGAGGGAGGGATCTATATTTAAAATGAGTGACCTTCATTTAAAGGGATAAGTAGTTTCATTGCAAAATGAGGACAAACAATGCATCTATGCAGTTCACAGTCATACTAACAAACGTGAAAGGCAGTGAACATGTTAATAAAACTGCAGACTGTTATTTTAGTGACTCTTCAGATTTGCTTTTTGTGGAGCTGCATCTAGAAAGACAGATGGAACTTCCTTCTTGCTTCTTTTCTGTGTTAATGTGCATTCTTAATATAGAATGATGCTCTTTAAAAAAAACACAAAACAAAACAAGACCAAACCAAAACAATCCAGCCTTGAGATGGATAGTAGCACACCTACATAAGATGAAGCACAGGAATGATATGTGAGGAGGGGGGAAAGAATCTTTAACCTACTCAAGGATACTCTAAACAGGAAGACATTAAATGTTTTTCATCTGATAGCCTCAACAATCTTCATTATTAAACTCTGTCCTGAGTAACTGTCTCTGGATTCTATATATAACTATTGTACTCCTGATTCTTTTGAGTTTGCCTGTTAATAGTCACCTTCAAATGAAGGTCATGTTGTATCAATGTGGAGGTTGGTAGAAA